AAATCATTAAATATCATAACTTATTTTCTTATCGCAGATCATTAAGCTACCAACATGTTTAGAGCTTCTGGACACTAAAGACCATAAAAAAATAAAGTTACAAATCCGGAATTCTTTTGGGACTCGGCATCCCTGAAAGACATGCTTAGTTTGTGAACATTGAGAGTTTATTTATCACCGCTGCAATATTGAATACTTTGGATATATTTGGTTAGGGTTTTTCAAAAACAGTGCTTTTTAAAAAACAGCTGTTAACAATCTTTTACTGTTTTTCATTATTTTTTAAATTTTAAAAGTAAAAAATGTTTTGATATATCTCATTTTATTATATCACTAATATAAGTAATTAGCTTTTAATAAAGACATTTTCCTAAAATAAACTTTCAAAAGTTCAAGCAGTTCAAGTGATTCAAGAGACAAGATAGAGCTTGATGCATATAATGCATCATATAATTTTTGAATATTGTTTTTTATAAAGATTGTTTTTGAATAGTATAATTTCTTATTTGAGAATTTAAGTCTTTAAAATCTACACATCTTGTAGCAAAATATTTTCAATTTCATTAATATTTGCTGACTTTGCTACTTTGTTTACATCACTGCTACTTTGTTTACATCACAGCTACTTTGTTTACATCACTGACTCCAAACAGACTGCAGACTAGAAAAAGTTACTATGGCTTTTGATGGAATGAATTCAGGATTTTAAGTCTCCTCATTTTATTGTTTATCTACAAAAAATTTCAAATTTACTATGAGTTTATTACTTATTCAAATTATATAAAGTTAAGTAAGTTATATACATATAGAATAATTTTTGTTATTTAAAAAGTATGTATTTTTTACGTTAAATGCAAATTTTTCAAAACAATTTGTACGATTATAAAAACAATACTTTCTACAACAATTGTGTTTTTAATGAAATTTTATTAATAATAATCAAGGTTAATAAAACTAATAATCAAATAAACATACAGGACCTTACAGACAACTGAACATAAACATACATTTATACATAGTGAATTACAAGTAGATGAGTAAAACACAAACATACATTTTTATAAAGCAATTTATGAATGAACCAGCACCAAGCCAGAGGTTCGTACAGAACACAAACATACAAATAAATAAAGTGAACTAAAGATGAACACTCTACCATAGATACATACAGAAAACAAACATTAAAAATTAAAAACCCCACTCACTAAATATCATCAGTGATATTGTGAAGCAGTTACGCTTCCTTTTTATAAATTATTTTTACCTTTTTAGTTTAACCATAAAAGTCACAGCTAAAAGATAAGATTATTGTAATATTTTATTAGTAACCTAATGGTTTAATTATTTCAACTTACTAAGAAAAATTGTTTCAAATGTACGAAACTTTGTAAACATTACATGAAACGGTTATAAAAAAAGTATTGCCTTTTTGTTTATTACAAATTTTATTAAAATCTTGTTGAAATAAAATATAAGTGTATAAATAAAAGAAATTGTATTATACTCTTTGAGAAATTGAAGAATGTTTGTTTCCTTATTAAATGATCATTAATAGTAAGTTGTTACTTTGTATAAAACAGTGTTGCTTAATTTAATAAAAAAATTATAATTTTCAACGTAATTTTTTTAAATAAGTGTTTTTTGTAATTGTCTCTTGTCAGTCATGTTAAGTGTTTTTGAAATGTTCTCAAAACGTATAAAAATTAATGACCAAGTTGTTGCAACTAAACAGTATATGCGTGGTCAGATCCCGATATATATATGCACTACCAATCAAAAGTTTAGGTGTTTCACCTTGTATTTGAATGACAAGTCTGATGTAAAAATTTATATGTAGATGCAAAAGTACAAAAGTATCACTAATCATAATGGCTGTTGAGTAATATATAAAACTGGTATTAGATCTAGTTAAAATGATGGTAATTTTAATGGACGCTGACAAAGTTTTAATGGACGCTGACAAAGTTTTAATGGACGCTGACAAAGTTTTAAAAAATGAAATGTTGTTTTGTTATGATTAATAATGTGACTATTTTTTTTGTTCCATTTTTTTTTATTTCATTTACTTTTTTTATTTTGTGTGCTCAGATTGAACTTGAACTGGGAATGGATGTTTCATCACCATCATATTGTTATTCAAGGGGTGAACAGATAGCTGATGCAGTTGATAGAGGAAATGAAAACCAAAGACCTGTATTTCCAAGGTAGAATAAAGTTATTTGATATTTATTATTATTTGTTTAATAATATTAAATTGACTTATTATTGTTGTCTTAATTATTATGAATTGATATCTATAGTTGTTATTTATGTTTATTTTAGTCGTTTGATGGATCGTCATGTTCTCTCTTCTGTTTGTGCTACTGAAGACAACACAAAGTATGCGTCTGCTGTTTATCACAATGGTTTGTTTAGTTATAAAATATTTAGTTGAAGGTTTTTATTCAATTATTATTTTAGATAATTTAAGATCAAATTTTTCATACTTATTTTGTTTGTTTGTGGAAACAAATTTTTTTTTTTTGGAGATATATTGCATGTTAACTCTATTATTAATTTTTTTTTTTTGTAGGTATCTTGCATATTACGCCTATTAAAGGTGTTGTGCAGCTTCGTCCTGGTTTTCATTATTTTGATAAAGCTGAAGAAAATCAAAAAAAAGCGGCTGTATTAGCTCATGAAGGTATTTTCCGTTATATTATCGCAGTTACTCTGGTACTATTTAGTTAATATTATTTTCCGTTATAAAACTTTTTTTAAAACCGAGTTATTCTTCATTATTATAGCTATATAACTATGATAATATAAAATAGGTTATATTATCATAGTTACTATATACATAGTTACTATAATAGCCTGCTATGTAAAAGTTTCATAAATGTATTTTTTATTGTTGTTGACATACTACTGAGATTTTCTAGACTAAAGTTTTTTAAAATATCAATAGATGTTTGTATCTCTGATTTACGTAATTTTTATAGTAATGTTAAAATATTAGCAATTATCTGTTTTATGTATTTTCTAAGCATAACTATTTCAAGTTTCCTGTTTTATTTTGTATAGACAATAAACAAACTTAAACAGTTTTAATTAAATTTAGTTATTACATATAGTATTTAATCAAAAAATGGACACACCTAGGGAAGTAATGGACACTCTCACTAGGGATAAAATAATTTAAATCTTAAAATAATTATTTTCTTGATTATTTAGTTTTTATTGATATAATCCAGAAAATAAGAATAATAGAGGAAAATTTTTTTTCTTCTTTTTTTTGGCTAATTATTACTCGGTGTAGTTAAGGCAATTTTGAAATATTATATCATCTGTATTATATTTTGTTGACTACGACATATTTCTGTTAAATGGTCAGGTCCATGAATCATGAAAAGAAGAAAAAAATTAAAATAATAAATTATGTGGTTATAAAATATAAATGTTTCTAGCAAAAAAACCCAGACCAAAGATTCTTTTTTTTTAAAAAAAAAACCTTCCTAAAATCACAATCCCTTGTCCAAATTTGAATAAGATTTTCGATAAATATGTTTTTCAGGTGAAATGAACATCATAGTTTGATAATATGATCTGTTCTGACCGTTTATTGGCAATTTTCCTTAATTATAAGCTCTTTCTTGGTCGGAATTCTATTTTTTTTTGTGAAATTTGATAAAAATGTTGTATTTTGACAACTATATATAGTTAGTATACATCAGAACCAATTAGAGAATCTATAATAAGATCTATAGTGGGTTAAGGCACTTTTTCGAAAGATTTTAACTAAGTTCATGTAAACGCAGATGAGTGAAAATGATCTAAAGACTCCAAAATAGTGTTCTTTAAATTTACTATAAGGGGCAGTCAAAAGGTTTTGAAAATTTTATGAAAAAAAGAACAGTTTCTTTAAATATTAAAAAACCTGAAGCAAAAAAAAATTATAACATCTAAAGCGCTTGTTTGGACATAATACGCTAATAAAGTCATGCTAATTTTAAAATAAAAGAGTTTGAATAATTTGTAAATTGCCTTAACCTCACCGAGCAGGTGTTTCCATCATTTTAAATTATTTTTTTAAGGGTATAACAATATTGGATAACTCATCAAAAAAAGTTTCAGATGACCATAAAGTTTAAGAAGTTTTGTACATAAATGTTTAACTCGCCCTAATAAATTGCCTACACCAAGTGCTTAGAGTTTATTTTTTGTTTGTTTGGCAATTTTACTAAGAGCTGAATGTCAATTTTTTTGTTTGTTTGTTAGGCAATTATATTAGGAATCAGCTGAGTGTCAGCAGCTTTATACTGGGTGTCAGCATTTTTGTTTGTTTGGCAATTATGCTAAGAGTTAAATGTCAGCATTTTTTTTTTGTTAACTAAGAGTTCAACGTCATAATTTTTACTACAAAATTACTTAAAATACAATACTATAGAATCTTGAAGTTTTTAAGGTAAAATAAAACTGGATTATAAGCAATATGGGTTACGTTTATTTAAATTACATATAGCTAATGTTTTTAATCACTTATTTTCAAACACCATTACTATTAAAAATGTATAGTTTTTTTTGTATAATAACATATATATTATATTATGTTATAATTTTTTTATTCTTATATAGAATACAGAGATCTCTTTACAGAGAATTGAATATATAACTAGTTGCCAGATAAAAAGGCCATGATGAACAAGGTTAACTAAGGAATGGTTAACTAAGATTATAAAATGACAAGACTTTTATAGCTTTTTGCTTGTGTCTTAGGATTTTTATGGAGTTTTTCTGAGATTGTTTGTTTATTCAATATAAATTATAACTTTAATACTTGATTTAACTTTTTTAACCATTTAGTTTTTTTGCTGAGAAAGAAAAAGTATTCAAAATTATAAAAACTTGGATAAAATTTACAAAAAAATCTTTCCTTAAAGTCCTCAAATTTTATAAATTTTTTAAATTTTTCATGCTTGTTTTATTTTTCTGAAAAACTGTTTTAAATAACTTGTTGAAAAGTCATTAAACACTTGTTCAAAGTTAATTCAACTCTTAAGAAAAATACCAAGCAAATAAATTTAGACCTTGTTAGAAAGGAAAAGAGCATCAATAGAAAAAACCAGCACGAAGAATAATCCACGAAGACATAAAGAAAAGAATTCAGTCTAGGAGTTTGAAAAGGGTTCTGTGAGACGTAAAGAAGAGGACTTATCGACATTGTGTCATGTGATGAGAGCTCGACAGACAGTGCAGTTCTTGAAAACAAAGTTTCATATTTGCTAGCCAATTTTAAACCAGTAGGTTTTGAAGCAGTAGAATTCGGGATTCTAATTTTTAATTAAAATTTTTTGAAACAACAAGTGTTTTTAAAGCTCAACATGATTGCATAACAAGTTTACTACCACTAAAAATTGAGATTTTATTGTTGTGTAAATGACACAATTATTAGAAAGTAGCAAGTGTTTGTATTTATTTGCTGTGTATTGTACATTGTTTAAATTTGTCTTTAATTAAATTAAATCTAATGGGTTAAATCTTATTTCGAATTATGCTTGCACCAAAATGCATCTAAAAGGTTTAGACATTTTTATGCTCATTTATAAGATGAAATTGATACACTTGTTGAAAACTGGAAGCATAAAATGTTTTCTGGTACCAGACGAGTTGATCATGAACTGACTAAGAAAACTTGGTATGAACATAAACAAATATGGTAACTCTTTGGAAGAAAAAGTTTCCAAAATTTACCTTAAGAGTTGAGTTAAAAAACACAAACAAAACATTATTATGAAAAAAGCCATTTTGAGTTTATAGCTTTAAAAGGTAAAACTAATGCTATTATAATTTTTGTTAGTAAGTGCATCAAAATTGAAAAATAAAGTAGATATTTATATATGCAGGGTTCAATTTAACAGTCAGACATTGGACATTTTCCGGCTAAAACCTCAGATTGTCTGATCAATATACAAAGTAATCAGACATTTTGACTGATCGAAATTGAATTCTACAAAGTAAATACTTATAAATAAATACAACTTGATCACAACTGTTTAGATGTTTTGATGATTTAAATGTTTCAGAAATGCACTAAAAAAGTAAATATAACATTTAGTTTACACATAATGTGTTTATCAAAATTAGTTTTTGATTTAGCGTAAAATAAAAACGTCAGAAAAGATTAAAAGTTCATAATGAAAAAATTTTTTACTGCATTTTAAATTGTTAAAACATCATATATATATATATATATATATATATATATATATATATATATATATATATATATATATATATAAAATTGAATTGTGACTTATTGTAGTCATGGTTAAGTGTTATATATATATATATATATATATATATATATATATATATATATATATATATATATATATATATATATATATATATATATATATATATATATATATATATATATATATATATATATATAATTGAATTGTGACTTATTGTAGTCATGGTTAAATGTTAAAGATAAAAGAAGCCCACCATATTAAATGAGAAAACCCTCACTTAATAACCAAGCACAAATTAAAAAAATTATGTTCCCTCACAAAATCAGTAGGTCTTCCTTTTAAATACTAAAATGTTATTCAAAATCTATCCTCATTATCCACGTTACAACATGATGAACTCGATTTATTAAACATTGGTCTTGGTTTCGCTTTGCCACCAGCATTTATAAAAAAGATAGATGTATTCGCTCTGATTGATTGTATTTCACAATTTCTTAATAATCAACTGAAAAGCAATGAATCAAAACCTCAATTTAAAAGTGAACTTTCCCATTTGGCTAACAATTACATATACAAATACACTCCATCTGAAAATTGTCTGAAAAAACATAAAATATTAAAAAGACTGTTATTACACGACCCAACAAAAGAAAATAATAATTCTTAATAAAGTTGATTATATAAATTCATTACATAATATTATAAGTAATAAGACTAAGTTTAAAGAATTAAAAGAGGATCCAACTATAAAAAGAGAAATATCTTTACATCTTAGAAAACTTTATAAGCTTAATTGAAAAAGACATTTACACTAAAATCTATCCTGTAGGATCTCAACCTGTATAAATTTACACGTTGCCTAATATGCATAATGTTAGTAAAGATATTTCTCTTTCTATCCAACATTTCGACCTATCATCTCAACAATCGGAACATATAACTACAACCTTGCCAAACATCTTTCTTATTTATTTTCTCCTCATATACTTAAACAATTTTGCACTTTAGACTCATTTTCTTTTGTTGAAGAATTAAAACAAACTAATGTAGCTAATAAATTTATCATTTCATATGATGTTGAAAGTTTGTTCACAAATATTCCACTTAAGGAAACCATCAACATAGCAACTGATTTATTTTTTAAAGAAAAAGTTAACTCAAAACGTTTTTCAAAAATTCACTTTAAAAAATTACTTTAGATTTCTACATCCGGTTCTATTTGACGGAAAATGTTACGATCAAATGGATAGCATTGCTATGGGTTCTCCTTTAGCGCCCATCTTAGCTAATATTTTTGTCGGATTTCATGAACAAACATGGGTCAATAACTGCTCCTTTACAGCACTATTATTTTATAAGCAGTATGTAGATGATATAATTGCAATTTTTAATTCTGAATATGAAGCTCAAGAATTTTTCAAACACCTCAATAAACAACATAAAAATTTAAAATTTACTATGGAAAAAGAACAAGATAACCAGCAAGGGGCAAATTAAGTGATCGCGAATTGAAAAATCTGTAAAAAATTCTGGTCTTTAAATTTTTAGTTTCTTAGCTAAATTCAACAATTTGTAAAACTGTTACGAATGGTCCAAAAAACACGCGCAAAAAATGGTTTTCAAGAAAAACAAAATTTAAAGACCAGAAACTTTTACCTAATTTTCAATTCATGATCATTTAATTGGCCCCTTGACCAGATTGCCTTTTTAGATGTACTTAATAAAAAATCCAATTCATTTTCGACTTCAGTTTATCACAAAAAAACATATACAGATCTTTTACAAAATTTTTTAAGTTTTATTTCTTCTTGCTACAAATTTGGTTTTGTTCGTTGTTTGATTGATCGTACATTTAAAATTAATAATACTTGGGTTGGTTTTGATAAAGATATTAAGAATCTATCATTAGTTTTTTCAAAATAATAAATTTCCGCAAAAAATTATTGACTCTGAAATTAAATACTACATTGATAAGAAAATGAACTCATCTGTTTCTAACATTGTTAATAGCTTAAATATAAGATGCTTTAAGCTTTCATACATGGGAATGTACTCCAATTATACTAAAATGAAAATTTCAAAAATTGTTCATAAATATTGCAAGGATGTTCTAATAAAATTAATTATCACTACTAATAAAATGCAAGATTGTTTTTGCTTAAAAGAGTCACTTCCTAAACTGCTTAAATCTCATGTTGTCTATAAATTTTCTTTCGTTGGCTGTAATGCCTGTTATATTGGAGAAACCTCCAGACATTTGGCAACTAGAATAAATGAGCACCTTAAAAGTGATAAACAATCTCATATATTTAAACACTTGAATTTATCTATTAATTGCAAAAATCTGGCTAACTGTGATTCTTTTGAGATTTTGGATAATGCCCCAACCAAACACAAATTAAAGATAAAAGAAGCCCTCCACATTAAATGGGAAAACCTTCACTTAATTAACAAACTTCACATTATGCTATAAACTTATCTATTTAATTTTACTGTCAGTTTATTATTATTATTATTATTATTATTATCATTATTATTATTATTATTATTATTTTTTGACAGTTAGTTATTTTGATTGGTTATTTAACAAGTTATTTTGTAATAATATATTGGTTCATTATGTAAATTTTTGTCCTTTTTTATTTCTCTGTAAAGACTTTTAATTTTTAATATTTATTTCAGAGTTTTATTATTGTAAAATAATCTTTTAAAAATATAAATAAAATTTTACAAAACATGTCAAGAATAAAAAACATTGTGTTATATATATATATATATATATATATATATATATATATATATATATATATATATATATATATATATATATATATATATATATATATATATATATATATATATATATTGTTGGGGACTTTAAAATTAAATTGAGCCCTGTATAAGTATTTTAGAGTATTCTTCTCAGTCTCCAAACTCATCCTCAGACTCCAAAAAAAATTTTCTAGTTTAGATCCTAAATTAACTACACAATCTGTTTTGTTGGTTAATTGGTGGTGGTGGTAATTATATTTTATAAAATAAAATATTTCTATTTTATTAAACAAAATGCTTCATTATACTTTTTATCTAGTGGCTATACTTGAATGTTTAAGATAAATTTTTGTACAATAGTTGTATAGTGTTGTAGACTTTTAAAGGTATGCTAGGTCATCATTTCTAGAGTAAGGTAGATTTTTTCATAGATTAAATACTGTCCTTCTTTTTTATATGTGTTTGTTTTTACATGTTAAGTTGTTTACTTTACAAACTAATAAGTTTTTTTAGGTTTTTAAGTTTTATTAAGTACAGTTATTATGTGCTTTTTAGTTGTAATTGATGTCTTTGCTTTGCTCATTTTGTTTAATACATGTGATCTTTTTTAAAATTTTAAAAATGATTTGTTGATATTAGTTGTTATCATGTTTGATATTTGACACACCTTAGCTGTCAAACCTAATAGACACTTCATTGTTATTTAGAGGCTACCTACTAGACACCTCATGGTTATTTTAAAATTATTATCATCATCATAATTATCTGTTATTTAATAAATATAATAAGAAATTAGTAATATATTATAAGTAAAAAGTAAATATAAGAATAAAGGTGAAATAAGATTCCAACAAAAATGTGAAGAAAAAGTAAATTTAAAAAAAATAAATTTAAAAAAATAACAAATAAACTTTGTAAAAATAATAACCTAATTCACAACATTTTGAATTATAATTATATAGATAGTCAAAGTGAAGAAGAAGAAGAAGCTAAACCTATACAGGTTGTTATTGTTAGATTGTTGTTTATATAAACCTATACATGTTGTTTTTGTTAGATTGTTTTTAAATACTGTTATTATTATAATTTTTTTCTGCTTTAAATTATTAATTATTTATAATTTACTTGTTTTAAGGTATAAATACTTACTCCTTAACAGTTGGGGTGGAACTGTGTCAAATTGAAAAAATACAAATAAATCTTATTGTCTAAGAAATGTTGCAGTTTAGATTAAAAGTTTAGTTAAAAGTTCATTACCTCAGTTGAGTGGCTTCATTCTTGTTTACATAAAAATATAAAAAACAGTATCCAAAATTTAGTTTAACCAAACTGCCTGTTAACTAGATTAATTCCACCATTTAAAGGGGTTTGAAGATCAAATTTTTTTCTTTCCACTTTAACTGTTTTTATGTTCTCCCACTTATAAATACTTACTCCTTTACATATTATTCTTTATTGAGACAAAAAAATATGGAAGTCTGTTGATCACAGATAAATGTTTTTGGAAGTTTTTCAGTTCCGGGTACCCAGACTCGGATTCAGCGAGTCCATGGGTATATACCCGGAATAGATCCAGTGAAGACTCAGTGAGTCTCATGATTTGTGTTGTACGCAGCAGCGTGTACCTTGTTTCGTTCGTCAGCGGCATGTACCTTGTTTAATTAGCAACGGCACGTCGTCCCACTGTATCCCATCTTTTTCTAGAAAAATCTACAGTAGTAGGGTTTGTGAATTCCTGACCTTTCTAGCTTGAAATTTAAACTTGAACTTGACCACAGCTTTGTAGATATTTTGAGAACATTCAAGTTTATGTCTGTTTCCATGTATGTCTGAATACACCCTAACTTCATAACTTAAATTTTTTCTCATCAAATAATTTTATATTAGCGATTGTTTTAAAAACATTCGCTAATATAAAAACTTCTGATTAGAAAGATTGAAGCAAATAAGTTAATTTAAAAAAAATACTTTTCATTTATTAATCAAATAGTTGATTAATTTCTCCATTTTAGGAAAAAAGTGAAATATCATAATTTTAATGTGACATTATATACAGCCCCATTATGTCGAAGAATTCAAAAATGGTGGACTATTTCACCCAATGTACCAATTTGAAAAATGGTAATTGCAATAAGTGTTCAACAATAACATCAAACAAAGATGGAAATACTTCATCAATGATTAAATAATTATATAAATTTTATTATATAAAAGTTAAATATGGAGTTTCTCTACCAACACAAGAAGAAATAGGAGAAAATTCCATCACCAATCGATTTAAAACTATCGACATTTTTGTTCCCGTTGCAAGAAAGCCTTTAGAAGAAATTATCGCTAAAATGGCTGTTCTTGATGGTATATCAGTTAGGGCGATTACAAAGTTTAGCTTTATTCATGAAAGTTTAATAAAATCAAGTTATAATCTTCCTAAAGCCGAAAGAGATGTTATGAAGCGAAAGAGATGTTAAAGCTGAAAAAACTTTTCAACTTTAGGAAGATTATAACTTGATTTTGCTAAACTTTTACTAAAAAAATTAAAGAGGGCCGACGATTTAGCATTACACTTGATAAATGGACGAGAATAAAATTTCGGAAATATTTAAATATCATTTTGCATGGAACCGGCTCTGAAGTGTGTAATCTGGGTTTAGTGAGAATTTTAAACTAGTGTACAGCTGTACAATTTGTTAAAAAAGTAGAACAACATTTAAACACTTATAATATTAATTTTAAAAAACATATAGTTGGTTCAACCGGCGACGGTGCTAGTGTAATGATAAAATTTGGACGAGAATCTCCTAGTCTCTATAATGTGTTTAAATCACACTATACACTAAGCTGTTTGTGATGTATTATATAAGAAAAATATTGTTGTCTTGCAAGATGAAGATGATATTGATGGTGATGGTGATGACCATGATCAAGATAGTATTGATGATGATCAAGATATAAGTTATTATTCTAATGAGAGCGGCGATGATGTCAAAGAGTACGAACATGTTGAATTAACAAATTTAGGAAATGTAGAAAAAAATATGAAAAGTGTTCATATAATTGTTAAATTTTTTGACAGTTCTTCTCTGCGAAATAATATTTTGCAAGAAAAGATTGAAATAGTTTAATGAAATGAACTTCAGCTAGTGTTAGGCGTAAGAACTCCTTAAAACTCATTGCTCGAAATGGTATCTTAATTTTTAAAACTATTTTATATCATTAAGATATTGGAAGTGTACATTTAATAGAAAATATTAATATTGAATTATTAGATGACTTGGAACTAACATTTATTGCTTTTAATATGCTAAAGCATATTAAAAGCAATTGCAAATCGGGCAATTGCAAATAAAAAAGCAATTGCAAATAAAAAAAAATTAGCATCCCCTCTGCTAAGAGGCGATGCTAATCTTGCAACAACCCGATTTGCTATTGATTTTATATTAGGAAAATTAAAGGAATCCAATAGTAATTTAAGTAGAAAGCTATTAATGACAATGAAAACTAGAATAAATAGCCGTAAAAACCAAGAATTAGAAGTACTATTAGATTCTCTTGTAAATGGTGCTCAAAGAAAATAAAAACATTTACAACAGATTTACTAAAAAGATTATTTAATGGGGATAAAGAGAACACATTATGAAAACACACATTATGAAAACACACATTATGAAAACACACATGAAAACACACATGAAAACACACATTATGAAAACACACATTATGAAAACACACATTATGAAAACACACATTATGAAAAGGAACATTCAACTGAAAATAACGAAAATACTACAGGAAACGCACAAGCATTATCACTGGAAAAAGAAATACATAAAATATTAGAAAGTGCGAAATGTCCAATTTTGCCAAGTTGTGGATATAAATTTGCTGATATTAAAAAAGAATTTTTATTGTTTTCAAAAACTAAAAAAAGAACTGCATATTTAGAAAAACTGCATCAAGCGTTAATAAGGATAAAACCAACATCAATAAATTCCAAATAAACATTTTCTGTAGCATGGAACTTCTGTACAAGAATTTGTTCTAGATTATCGGACAATGCATTGAGTTCATTAGCTTTTTTAAAGTTTTATTTTTTCAGTAAAAAATAATTGCTCTGGTATTTATTAAACACTTATATTTATATTTTATTTAGTTGAGTTTATTTTTGCTAGTATATTTACATGTATTTTATTATAAATTATAAATTATGTTTGTAAATACTAACACAGTATTTTTAAAAGTAATGTAAAGTTTATTTGGTAGTTTAGCATCATAATAAAAGTATAGAATAATATACTTACGTTAGACGTTGAAACTGGCTAAAAGTTGTTTTATTTACTGTAACATATACCAAATCCATTTTTTAAAATCAGCTTGAGAGCAAAAAATCTTTTCATGCTATTGTTAAATTGCGAGTTAAAAAGATGTATTAGACCCAAACCCGATAAATATTCGTTGGCTCAGCTTGGGCTTGTTGGGTCTAAAAAGACCGGGCTTTCCCAAACCCTACTCTCCACACCGATCTAAAGCACAATAAAATCTATCAGGTATTACCGTTAACAAATCAGCAATAGAAAGAGAAGATTGAGGTCCATATTGATAATCAGAAAGTAAGTTGAGAGGTAGTTGTTTATCAAAAACTCAAAAACCTTGTTTATGATAGTAAGAAGACTAATGGGACGGTAGTTAGAGGAGTTAGATTGCTTTCCATAATTTTTAAAAAAAGGGATAACATATGTGGCTTTCCAGCAGGTTGGAAAACAGTTCTGATAAGCACTTATTAAACAGTTTTAAAAGTATAGACGACAGCTCCGGAGAACACTTCTGCAAGACAGGTATGCTGTCTGGATCACAAGCTTAGATACAGAAGTTTGAGTGATATGAAGGTCAGGCAATGGATTAACCTGCTTGCCGGCTATATCAGGTAGTCCTTGAATAGTGGAATCAAGAGAATGATATTGATGAGAAAGTTTTAGCAAACAGTTTAGCTTTGTCTTTCAGTGAGGTGATAAAATCTGAACCATACAAGAGATGTTGAATAACAGATTTACCCTTATCATAGATAGCCAGCTTCAATTTATTAATTTAATGACATATTATTATTGTTATTATTATTGTTATTATTAATATTATTTTAATTCAATTACATATTATTAACACTATGTGCTAATAATATGTAACTTGCAAAAGATCCTCTTTGGGACCCTAAAGTGAACTGTCGAAACTGCTCATCAAGACTTATAAGCATTGGGTTTTTAATCCTTTTTATTTATAGTTATTTTTTCCCTTCCTTTTGAAAGTCAATGTGTTTAAGAAGGTTTTAAAGGCCAATAAAAATTCTTTTAACAGAAACGTTTTTTTTTTTAATTTACTAATAGTCTATTTTCCAGGTTTTGCACTTTTTTTTTTGCATTTTAGCATTATATTTGCTAAAATTAATTTTTTTTTTTTTTGCATTTTAGCATTAGTTTATACTTTAGAAATTTACGCTATTTTTAAGTTAATTCAAACTACGATTTAATTAGCAAATCAAAATTTTTCAAAAATCAATATTTGTGTCTATAGAATGAAAATTGTACATGTAGCTATAAAACATATTTAATAACAGTTGTTATATTACATAGTAGAACAATCATGTAACTTTTATTTTGAAAGAGTGATTGAACGTTTGAGATCGAAGTAACAAAACACAAAATGTAAACTAAAACTGCCATAAATCCTAAACCAGTAAATCAATGCGACTGAAATTTTATCCTGAGTTTGGTGTGGCCATATTCTACATTTGCACTAATTTTTATCAAATTATATGTAGTGGTTTTCATTCTACATGGGTTTTTGTTGCACTATAAAGTCTAAATTTCCCTTAATTTTGAACATTTAAATTAAATTATTTTCTTCTGACAAAATTTAAAAGTTTCAAAATTTGTATCACAGGGTACCTTGATGTGTACGCTATCATCCTATATTAGTGGTGTTTTTGGTCTTGATAAAGTTGTTGCTCATATAACCTAAATTAAAAATGGAATTGTGAAGCACAACTTAGGTAAATGAAAAAGGAACTTTTTATTATAAAAGAGACAAAACTACCTATATTAGGTAGAAACGTTTTTATTAATACTGGAATTATCAAATTACTGGTCACTAAAATATTTATTTAAAAATGTCTAAATCTTTCTGTTTAGATGTACAGCTTTCAAAAGGCTGGGAAAAAATTATTTTCCCAGCCTTTTGAAGATTTTCCATAGTTGTTGTAAATGTATTTGTCTAAAATCAAGAGACCCTGAATTAAAGCTTTGATGTGTTAATTGATTTAAGTTTAGTTTTATGAAAATAATTTGATATACGTAAGTCCTATTTATTTTTATAAATATAAAAAAAGGTAGTCAATGCTTTTAGTTAAATAATTTAGCTTTGGTTTAACCTCTGGTGATTTATTCTTTTTTTCACTAAAATCAAAAGCTAAAACTACAATTTTTTTGTAAATCAGACAAAAGAAAGCATCAGGAAGAAAAATTGTTCACAGCCTAAGAGTTTGATAGATGATATACTCAACAGTGAATTTATAGAAACAATTTTAAGCAAGGATTCTTCAATTGAATTTGATTTTGATTCAAATCTCTGAAAACCCAGATACAGTAACTGTGAAAATTTGTGATATATATGCAGATATAACACAGATTATGATATATCTCCAAATGTTTTACCGAAGGTAACAAATACAATTCTATACCAATCAGGATGATCTTAAAAAAGTTAAATGCAACCTAAATAATAGGTATAGAAACGATCGATGTGGAATAGTTAAGTATAGAAATGGTAGGTTTGGTAAAGACCCGTATTTTAAGGGTCCTGAAAACTAGGATATATATATATATAATATATATATATATATATATATATATATATATATATATATATATATATATATATATATATATATATATATATATATATATATATATATATATATATATATATATATATATATATATATATATATAAGAAAAAGGTATAGAAAAGGTCAGTGTGGAATAAACTTACAAAGACCCATATTTTTGCGGTTCAGATCAGCTAGTGTATATAATTATAATATATATTTATAATTTAGTTACGATTTGAAACTGCAGGCGCAAAGCAAAAAGTATTTGATAATGTTATAGAAGAAAAATGGAAAGATATGACATTCTTTCATCCACATGTATGTTCTTGTTATTCAAATATTTCATCAACATGTATGTTTGTTATTCAAATTAAATTACAGTTATTAGAGTTTTATTATGGTTGTAATACAAACATGGAATTGTACTAGTTAAAAGTTGGTATATATTAATATATAGTTGGTATATATAATATACACTTAGCATAAAATAGTAATACTATGGTATAAAAAATAGAGTTTTACTTTCGTTTTATATTTATTCTCTATAGTTTTTAATAGTTACAACTTTGCCTTGATCAATTTTAATATTTTTATTAAGAAAATATTTTCAAAAGTTTTTAAAACTATTAATTTTAAGATCTATGGTGATTGAATGTAAAACAAAATCATTTGTACTATCTAGGAGCAACGCTCATTAAATGAAAAGCATCTATTGTATTGTCTGCAAGGTAGTTTTGAGGCACCAGAATTTACTGCCACATCACGGTAAATATTTCTGATTATTCTTTTTAAGTACTTTTTTCAAACCAATTTGTCTAGGTAAATGTTATTTATTTATTTTTTTTTACTATTTTTTATATGATTTAATATTTCAAATGTGGGCTTTTTTTTTGAGTAGTTTTTCAAAATTATCATTACGGGCATCACAGTTTCTTTTATAAAGCTATTTCCCTAAATCAGATTATCTTTTAGGTTGGTTTAATAACAGTAGATATTTTTGGATTGTGACAATAACAGCAATTATTTTAGATTATGACCTCAGCCTATTATAAAAGAAAAACCACGTAATATTAAGCATTCTGGACCTGTAAAATACAGGTCTTAGTAAGTCTATTCTACGCCGAACATTTCTAAAAAATAATTTATAACATCACTTTTAAAAATTTTAAACGCTAAACGTAACGTAACGGTAAGCGCAAACAAAAAATAAAAATCTGTCAAATCTTTGTTTTGAATTAGTTCAATATTTTATAACTTCTTTTTGTAAAATAGTAAACTTCTATAAAAAAAAAAACAGTTATAGACTTACAAATTTTTTTCTTTATTATGTTTCTATTAGGTTTTTCCTATATAAAAAAAAAGTTGTCTTTGTAATGTGTGTTGAACATTAAGACTGAACTAATTGCCAAAGTTTATAACTTAAGTTTAGGCTTAGGCAATTATATCTCTTTTGTGACCTATGTGTAAAAAATTGCTGTTTTGATGTTTATTGCAATTTTTAATTTAATTTTAAAAATCCCTTTTGTTTGTTTTAGTATGTTATATCTTTATTATTTTTGTTTTGTTTTTGTTTTGTTTGTTTTGTCTTTATATATCAACAATAGCACTTTAAAATGTTTTAATTTGTATTTTAGAAAGTTAGAAATGATTTTAAAAAATTAACATTCAATCTAGATATAAACATGCAATCGACAGGATTTGAACCCTCGCTATACTTTAGAAGCGCAACAAGCTAACCACTCTGGCCACTAAGATACACTAAACTGTTAATTTTTAACACTATTAAAAAAAAATTAAATGCAATGAATAACTTTATAAAACAGCAAAAAATGCTTTTAATCAAAATTAAAAAGGTTTTGCAGCAATTCAATTTTTAAATAAAAGTAGAACTTTATAAAAGAAAAAAACATTGAACTTTAAAAATGATTAAAATTTTTTTTAAAAAAAATTGAAAAAGATATATAAAAATAAATACAAAATGCAGAAGAACAAGGGTTTGAACCATGGCACAAGCAAGCAAAGATTAAAACACAGAGCACCAAGTACCAGGGTTGGTAAGAGACTGGTTCATATCTATATATAGCATTACAAGTAATTGAGTATCTTCACTCATCAAGTAACATTTATTTTCAGGGTTTTTCTTAAAGATTGTAGATTAATTGTTATGCCTTTAATAGTTCTCAGTAGTACCGTGGGCGAATTGTATAAACTTCTGCTCTGCTATATTATTTTGATGCATACGATAGTCAATAAAGATAATGCTTGTTTTGGTAAGCATACCTATTTCAAAAAAAAAACTTATTGAAAAAAGGAATAGTTTCGAAAAGAAACCTATTGAAATGATATTTTAGCACTTGTTTCAAAACTGCAACAAAAGAAATAATTTCAAATAATATTTATTTTAAAACGGAAATTTGAAATTTCTTTTGAAAAGCATTTAAGGAAAATTGCCGAAAACATAATTTTGAAAAGCCAGTTAAGATATATGTAAACATTGCTTTGTTTTGACAATTTCGAGCGTGATTTCGAACGAAAAAATAATTTACAAAAGCCAGTTAAGAAGGATCTAAAGATTGCTTTGTTTTGACAATCAGTTGAAAAAAAATCAAAGAAAAAAGAAGAAATGTCAGCAAATTTTGTTTATTGTTGTGATTTTCGCAAATTTGATTTTCTCATAGTTAAAACACCTATAAGCTCTGCAAGTGAAATCAATCATCAAAAGAAAAGCTGAATCAACATCAGAAGATTTGAGGTGTATCTACAGATAAATCTAAAACATGAAATACATGAAATCTGCCATGGGATACTTCCATCCTGGTTTCTAACAGTTTATGTGCTTGCTCAATGAGCACATCTTTATTCATACCTGTCATGAGATTCAGCAATAAAACTAGTGCCAACTAGTGCGCCAGAATCAAGGTATAAAAGAATATTAAAATTTTTATTATTGTCAGATAAATTCTGAAATTGTAAAAATTAAAAATTATTACAATTTCAGAATTTATCTGACAATAATAAAAATTGTCATTGTTGATGTGGTAAAAAATGTTTAACATGTTACAAGTTTTCTCTAAATTGTAATAAATTGTTTTGTAAAACTATCATAAGACTAAAAAATTGTTTTCTTTATTTTTTTACATTTTTTTAGCCCTGCAGCCAAGATTCCCAACGAAAATCCTGATTATCTGGAAAGATAAGCTCATTCAAATGCACTAGTAGAAGTTGTGGAGGTTCCAAGTTTTTCATCTGTACTAAAAATGACAGTATAACTTTGATTATGCCTTGCAAACATTTTTTGAATTGTATTCCTTTCATTCAACAGGTGCAGGCAAGTATGGCCCTGTTCAATATGTCATTGAGCCTTTTCCATGTCTTCTATATTGAGCTTTTTCTAAAATGTCTTCAAGTTCATAGCTACCAATTCTAGTTCTAGTTCTATTCTAGTTTTTAATGATTTTTTTGTAAGTTTCATTTAATTTTGAGCAAAAAAAAAAAAGGGATTTTTAAAGTTTGTATTTTTCAATTCTTTTTAAATTTAATTTTCGAAACTACTCTGATTATGTTACTTTCAAATAAAAAATTTTTTCAAAAGATTTTGAACTTATTCTAGATTTTTCATTAATTAGAAAAGCTAATTAGATTAATTTATTATTACTATTTGTTATTAGAAAATTTGACATTTATTAGAAAAGCTTGCAACAAGTGCTTGATGACATTTACTTTGCATTCAGCTTTCATTTTTAATGTTAAAATGGTTGAACATGAGAGTAATAAACTTTTATGACAATTGAATTGCGCACAGTTCTTGACAGACTTTGAGTTCTTATTCAGCATCCTAACATTTGAATAGAGCTGAAGAAAAATGCACATAACTGTAACTTCATAAATTTATGTTGCACTGTATAATGGAGACCTGGGCTAGTTTCCTCTGTTTTTACTCTTTAAGCTCTGCAGCCGTAACACCAAAATTTAAATAGTCTTAAATAGTATGGATTTCGGTAACATTTTTAACTTGCATTCATGTTTATAAAATTTTTCTTAGGGCCCTTCTAGGGCTTAAAGAAAAAAAATTTGTTGGCGTAAAATATAAAAATTATTTATGTAATGTTAAGTGCAAAATTTATAAAAAATTACTATCAATTTTGGCAAAAATTTAAGCCAAAAATTTAATATTAGATGGTACCAAACTTTAGTTAGTATATTAAGCCAAAACATTATCCCATTTTTTTTTATCTGTTTAAAAAAAAAACCTAAAACTTTTTTTTTGTTTGTTGTAAAAAATAAATTTTTTTTAATGTTTAGAATTAAAAAAAAAAGTTAATTTTGTAAAAATGTTTTTTTTTTCCGTAGTAAATGCTAGCTAGCTCTTTGAAAATTTTGCCAACTTACCTTTTTTCAATGAGTCTACAGATCCTGAAAAACTGCAATTTTTGAAAATAAAATCTGACTGGAAATAGTAAGAGAATTGTAAGCTATAATGTGTTGCACACATTTTAGCTTGAAGTGTAAGTTTTTTGGTTTAAAATCCAAAACATTATCAAGAAGAATACTAGATCTTTATCAACAAACCATTTTGGTTTGTTGATAAAGATGTAGTATTATTCTTGATAATGTTTTGGATTATGTATTATACAGAATATAATCTATGAAAAACACAGTTCTGAATATAAAAGTTTGTGAGCAATAGAAGAAACTGTAAAGTGAGTTACACTCAATTATAAAATAATTTTTTTACTACTGTTTCCTGACATTGCACTGCATCAAAACACTGTTTTATTATATGGCATATTTCAGATATTCATATAAGTAATTAATTTAAGTAAGTATTTTAGAAGTATGATACAGTTTTTAGTGTTTGTTAAAAAATTGTTAAATTTTTTTTTTTTTTTTTTTTTTTTTGCCAATATATCCCAAAACAATAAACCACTTGCCAGGCCATATTGAAAGTTTCAAAAAGAACCAAGACTGAAAAAATCATGTTTGCAAGAAACATATAAATTGTGAAGAAAAAAAATTTATGACTTTTGCATTGCAATAATGCACATGCTTACTTATTGCTGCTTGTGAAAGACTGTTTAACTAAAAACAATACTACAATCATATTTCAGCCACGATATCTAACTGACCTGTTTCTAAAATTGAAGAGATCGAAGAAAAGATCAAAGATTAAAACTGCATCACTATATCGAGGCTATTCAAAAAGAACTTATAAGAATTGCTTATATATAAAAGTGGAGGGGGCACCTTAAATGGAATAAGTTGAATAATGAAAAATATTCTGAAAATTCAAAACTTTTTCTAGAAATATATGTTACAAAATACAAAAAGTAATATGTTACAAAATAAAAAAATTTCTTTGTAAAATAAATGATAGAAACAGTTACTCTGAAATTTGAAGATTAATTAGTTTTAATTCATTTTAAAGAAATTTTTCAATTATATATAAATATAAACAAAAACAATTTTTTTTTGTCATATTAAGATTTATTAGAATTAAGTTAAAAAAAGCATATTTGACACAGAACCTTTATCAACCATTGCAACTGAGGTAATGGCGAGAAAGAGTTGCAGCACTTTTTTTAATAAAAAAATGTGAATAAAAGTGTATTCAACTATCAAAAAACAAACATCTTCAAATTATGTTAAATTTTAAATTATGTTAAAACCTATATATAAAATAAGTTATATATAAGTTATATATAAAATATAGTTATATGTAAAAATTATAACATATATCCAGTTTTACAGTTTTACTTTCACTTAAAAACTGCATTTCAGAAACATCTCCTTAATTTTGATCTATAACATTTATTTCTGTTGTTTAAAGTTTTTCGTTTGTTAAATAGTTATAAAGCTTTTGTCAGACAGCACGCCTGTGCGGCTGATAGAGTTGCAACCCCAAAAAAAACGGTGTGTTTTTTTTAAAAAAAACACGTTTTTTTTGCAAAAAAAACAGACTGGTTCTAAAAACATGTTTTTTATAGCTTTTTTTGCTTTTTTTTGCTTTTTTTTAGTATTCATTAAATTTTAGATAATAATAATACTTGAAACAGTTCCAGTGCCCTTAAACCTACAAAAAAAAACTTATGTTTTCTATTTAATAAAATGCATATTAACTTATATAATAGCTGTTACAAACTAATCACCAATATTAAAAAAAAACAGTATTAAATATTTAAAAAAGTAATTTTTTAAATAAATCTCAAAAAAACTATACTATTAGCTACTAGTTGATTGTAAGTATAATACTACTGAATGAAGGAAATAAAAATGTTATTTTAGCAGTGTTATTTCATTCATAAAAATGAATGAAATAACACTGCATTGCAAAATACAAAAATGAACCAACTGTTAAATAAAATTTACTTTAATGTTTTATTTACTTTTGTATATTACTTTTTTAAATTTTTAATATTTAATTTCTTTATTTTATTTTAAATTGCAATTAGATAGCTAAAATTTTATTTATTCAAACAATATTTAAGTAAATAAAAATAACGCAATGATTAACTTTGTCTAATGAAAAAACATTTATATTAAACAATTTGTAATCTATTAATTATTTTTAATTAAAAAAAAAAAAGAAATCTAAAAAAAAATATGCCAGGCAATAGAAGACCTTAATGAACAAGAAAGCCAGAATACAGAATCTGTTATTAATTAAAAATAAATCTTTTAAATGATGTACTATATATTTACCATATATCATGTTATTAATATATATTATATTACATTTATAATAAAAATAAAAATTAAATAAAAGTAAATAATTTTTTTTTTAATCTAAAAAACAAAAAAAACCATAAAAAACACAAAAAACACAAAAAAAACATGTTTTTTTTGCAAAAAAAAACACAATTAAAAAAAAACGGTTTTTTTTGCAACTCTAGCGGCTGACAATACGCCTGTGCGGCCGAGTGGTTAGCTTACAGAGTTTCTTATGCAAAGTTCCATGATTCGAATCCTACCACTAGAACTTTTTTATAGATAATATGTTTACATATGTAAAAATATTATACACTATATATAGTGTAAAATATATATTGTGTTAAACTAAAGGGAGAGAATTTTTAAAAAAGCTTAAATTTTCTAAAAACAAAACACAAAAAGAAATTTCTTGCAAAAGGTAATGAAAGAGATACTTATATTATTAATGTGCTCAAGTAATTAGTCCTAATAAGCTGTATATGTGCTCAAGTAATTAGTCCTAACTTAACTAAATAATGTATATACAAATAATCTTTAAGCTTAGCCAAAAAAAAATTTTGCGCAGTGATATTAGTGGCAAAAAAAATTTTATTAAAATTTTTCTTTTGCATTTATCTTATATTTTTTTTTATTAATTTTAATTATGGTGCATACAATTGCACATAAAGAGATAAAACTGGTACAGATATATCATTTCACGGATAAGAGTTTGTATTTATTACAATAGTAATAAATAAATAGTTTTAAAGAAATAACATAGTAATTACTATATTAAGTCTTTATTAGAATATATCCCATTAAAATATATTCTATATATTTTTAATAAAAGGAATTTTCTTTAAAAATTTAGTTAAAATCTTATTTCTAGTAAGTTTTTTTTTTAGTTTTTTTGCCACAAAGTGACATCACATATGCAATTTTGGCTTCAACGATTTACTAAAAAATCACTTCTATCATTTTCAATGGTCATAGAACCAGATGATGTAATTTTAGCAAACAGAAATTATCAAGAAAGGGGTTAATCTAAAATTGAAGTTTTAATTTTTTCACTTAAATTAGACAGTTTAGTGTTTTTTGACAGTTTAGTAGTTTTGTGTTTTTTCAATCTTGTCAATTTTTTTTAATACAATAACATAAATACAAAAATTCAAAACAAAACTGCTTGAGCAAAAAAAACTTGTAACTTTTAGAAAAGTTTTTTTATATTACACACAATCCTGTATAAAATGTTATATAAGTGGATTTTTTACATTTGCATATAACATATGTTTTTATATATAAGCGCAACTTTATTCCTATGCAATAAAGCTGAATTAGAGAACCCGCTTGAAAAGTGTTGATTAATTGCAATCTGTATAAAATGGTTTGTTTTTTAATTACATTTTAATTACATCAATTTGATAGATCTGAGGTTTAATGCATTACATCATTTAATTTAATGCATTACGTCATTTTACAAAGGTTCAAATCTGCCCTTTAACACAATGTATTTTCAATTTTTTCAATCTTCAATCTATTTATAGCAAAAAAATGAACATAGCAATAAAGACTTTTAATTGTTAAAATAAACGTTTTTTCTAGTTATCAAGTTTTAGACCATAATTTTTTTTCAGACCATTAGCAGCTTATTAGGACTAATTACCTGAGCACATTAATAACATAAGTATCTCAATCATGATACATACGCAAAAATTTCTCCCGGGGTTTTGAATTTTTTTTTAATTTTTAGTTTTTTAAAAATCCTTTTGTTTGTTACAGTATATAATATCTTCAAAAGTGTTTTATTTTGCATTTTAAAAAAATAAAAAAAAAGTCACCAGTGTTAGATTCGAACCACTGCTTTTTCATTCAGAAGCTCTGCAAGCTAACCACTCAGCCATGATGACATAAAACTTTAAAAAAATTTTGAACTATATAATAAATAAAAGATATAAAAGTAAAACGGAAATAAATGCTATAGAACAAAGTTAAAGCAACGCAATTTTCAAGTTAGATATTTGCATTTTGTATATATATAGATATTTATTTTAACACTTTCGTTCACATTTTCTTATTAAAAAAAGTGTTGCAACTCTTTTTTGCATCGGTTGCAATGGCTGCTAAGAATTCTGTGTCAAACACACTCCAAAGATCTTTATTACTAAAGCACTTTTAACTTCAGCAATAATATACAAGATGAATTATTTTACTAAAAAATATTTAAATAAGCAATATGTTTAGAAATGATTGGTGTGGAATAGATATGTATAGAAATGGTCAGTTTATATCCATATTTTATGGGTCTGGAAACCTAGGTATATATATAAGGAATAGGTATAGCAAAATTTTGCGTGGAATAAACTTATATAGACCCTAATGTTTATGGGTCTGGTCAGGTAGTCTTAAATAATCCATAGAAAATAAGTTTAGAGTTAGTTAAACTTACCAAAACAACTTATCAAGATAAAAAATAAAAAGATTAAAGTTAAATTATATTTTAATGTTTAGGTTTTCCTTTTTTTAATATGTTAGGTTAAATAATAATTTAAAAAATTAAAAAAAAAAAGAAATTATAGCTAACTTGCTATTGTTGATAGAATTTTTTTTAAGTTATGAAAAGTTTTAAGAATAGTTTTTTAATTTAACAAAGAGAAAAGTTTGTTAAATTCTTATTAAAAAAAATTAAAAACCAGAAGTAAAACATGTTTTAATAAAACATGCACACAGATGCACACAGATATATATATATATATATATATATATATATATATATATATATATATATATATATATATATATATATATATATCACGATGATTTAAATTACATATTTTGGCAGGATTTAGCTAGTGCCCATAGAGCTAAAGAGGCAATATCGTGGATGAATGAAATGATTAACTTCGTGCCGGTCGATATGAATCCCTCCTAATGTCCCCAAAGCCAGGCCAATCGAAGACTTTTGGGGAGTATTAGCTCAGAATGTGTATGAGGGTGGATGGGAGGCCAAAAGTGAACAACAACTGATTCGGCGTATCGAAGCCTTTCTGAAAAAAATTGATTTGACATTTTTACAATCCTTATGAAGGGTATCAAAACTAAATTGAGATTAATAGCCGATCAAGGCGTTCAATCGATTTACAAAAAATAATTTTTAAAAAATAAATATTGTGTTATTATTTTTTAAAAATGAAAAAAAAATTTTCTTTTATTTCTTTAAAAATATAAGGCTTTGATTTTTGTGTCACTAATTATGCATCACCCGTTATATACATATATATATACATATATATATACATATATATATATATATATATATATATATATATATATATATATATATATATATATATATATATATATATATATATATATATATATATATATCAATTGTATATATATATCAATTGAATGTTTATCTGTATATTGTTTTATTAAGTTTTATGAGTAAAATTATTTTTTTTATTATAGGGATTATCTTAAAATTCTCTCTCCAAAGGAAGATAAAGATTATAAGTAAGTATGATTGGTGTATTTGTTACAATTTATTAAAAATATAACATAAAAATGATGTTAGCAATACATCACAATAGAAATACGTTGACAGCATATTGGCATTTGCAGATAATAACATTTTAAAAACTCATCCAAACCAGTCAAACCATGGGCGTTAAAAATTAATAATTGTTTTAGCTGCATAACTTCCATTGGTTTTTTTTAATCCATATTCCAAAAACTTTACAGCAACTTAATTTCTTTGAGTCATAAAATGACCTCATCTTGTGATCAAGTTTGTTAAAAGAGCATTATTATTAAACATGATTTCCAATATTTTTCTGAATTATTGTATCATTTTCAAAGAATATCAGCAAAAAGAAAATAACTAATTAAATAAAAAAGAAAAAGTGACAGAATATTTAAACTTTCTTTTTGTTTAATGTTAAGGTTTCAGCTTGTCTCCATGGGCTTACAGAATATTATACCAAACTTTTTTTTTTGATTTACTTGATACAGTTATTGCTGCTGATTTAAATTAATGGGTGTAGTTTGCTAGAAACCCACAAACTTACTTATCAGTATATTAAGTAATTTTTAAAGTTAAATTTTTTTTTATATCTTCAATTTTAATTTTTACTCATAATCTCAACGATACTGATAGAAACTTCTTTAAAGAAGTTTTTAGACACCAGACTTTGTATCTTGCTCTATATATTAGTTAATATATGATAAATTTGTAATTTAAGTTGCTTAAATTTGCGTCAGCATACTTGAAAGTTTAATAATAGTGATGACATGTATATTAGAGAGAAACACTGTAACTGGAATTGTTGTATTACTGCAGTCATCGCAATAATTACTGTGATTGCTGTGATAGTTATCATGATCACCACGATAATTAACCTGGGATGATAAATTACAATAATACCACCATAAAAGTAATAACAGCCTTGGTAATACTGCTGTAACAGTAACAGGTGTTAAATATTATTAAACATTATAGATATTAAATATTATATATTAAATTTATTATTATATATTAAATATTATAGTTAAGAAGCACAAAATATAACCAGCATTATGAAGTTATTTCTGCATGGCTTGAATTATTATGTTACTTCTGTATTGTTTGAACAAAGAATAAGTATGTGCATCTATATAAATTACATAGTTTGTAAATAATTTGTATTTACATAGTAAAATTATATAATTTGTAATGATCTAAAGATCTACACTTCCAAATGACTAAAGAATCTATTTTTGTTGAAGCTATAAAGCCTCACAAACAAAATATAATAATCAGCTGGGTATTCCTCTATGAATCATAATGAAATCACTACTAATTGTTTAACTGCTCTATTAGATAAGCTAAATACTAAATTAAAAAAAAATATTTTCTTATGGGAGATAATAATATGGATCTTCTAAGCATTCTAAGCATATTACTTCTTATTGTGGATTTTATTAAAAAAATCTCATCGTATTTCCAATTTTGTTTGTGATTTTCCAATTTTGATTTTTTCCAAGTTTGTAAAAAATCTTTAGTTTTTATTCCAAAAAATATTAGTAAAGATTAAGCTCTTGCATCTGATTTGAAATAATTTCTACTTCACTGAGTGTAACACTCATTTCTCTTTATAAATAGTTTATAAAAGTTCTGTAAGGTAATGATTATTTATGACAGTGTAATAACAGCCATGTAGATTTTCAATGTATGTAGTGAAATAACAAAGTAAATTTTCAATGTATAAAAACAGTTATGTTTCAGCTAAGTAGATCATATTTTTATTTGATATTTTTACATGGTATTATTTTATAAAATATTTGAATTATTAAAATTCTATAGACTTACAACTATGCATAGAAATATTTTGATCTGAAATATGAGAAATAGAACTAATCAGTATGAGATCTTTTACAGTCCTATCATTATTTTGTCTTTTCCTGTCCGCTTTTACTCTTGCAGCTAATCCTAAATGGGCAGCCTCCTTACTCTAATAGTTGAATAGAATACTCTTTTTTCTTTTACTAATTATTTACACTCTCTCCCTAAACTTCAAATCACAAACCTTGTTAAACCAGACATTATTTTAGAGAAACAGGTTAGGTATGGTACATCCAGGGTCTTGAGATTATGAACCTCTTGATTATGAGATGAGTGTTCTACCTCATTGTTCTTCTATTGTTTTATCATCTTCTACCGCAGGATTGGTCAATCAATCAAATTAGTAAATCACTTAACAATATATGGTTTATATAACAGATGTAACTGATATAAAACATACTTTATTAAGTTTATACATTATTGTTTTATACATAAAGTAATTGTTTAATCATCAAAGATAATTAGTTTGATGTGTTTATAACAAATAAATTAGTAGAACATTTGAGAATTAAAAATATTAAAAAATATGAAACATGTTATTAGCAAGCAGTTATATTTTTTTTGCAAGCAGGTTTATTTAAGCAAGTTATATTTTTAGCAAAGCAGTGCAGAAGTCTTTTGTTTAAATGATGTAATGTTTTGATTTATAGTTTGCCAGCTGACTTACCTTATGGCATGCTTTCACTCCTAAAGTTGAAGAATATGGAGTTTCGAGATCAAATTAAAGCATTACTTGTTACAAGTAATTGTCATTAGTTAAATATGTTTTTTTTTTTTAATTATTCTGATTGTTGATTAAATTTTGTGAAAAAAAATTTAATAACAACATTGATTTAGTTATTATTTATTAATTTTTAATTTTTAATGTTAATAGTAATTATATATAAATAATTACATTTATATTTGATTATTTTATTTATATCCATTTTATAAATATTTTGTAATATAATATATGTTAAATAGTTTTACAAATAATTTTTACTAGCAAAAGTGATGCAGTTCTGTCATTTGTGTGCTTTGCTTGGAGGTGGTATGGATGAACAAATAGTTCTTAAAGGTGTTGCTCAGTATGCTCTTCTAGTCCAGGGTTGTTGGGTGGTAAAAAGGTCAAACCTATATTTTTAGTTTTTATTGTAAGTTACACTTTGAAATTGATGTTTCTCATGAATTTTTTCACAAGCAGTTAAAGTTTAAAAAAAAATATTTCTTTATAGTGAAGTGCTTTATCCAGCTGGAACAAAAAGTCATGTGAGTGGGATTGATGCAGAGAAACTTTGGCCATCAAGAGACTATGTGGTTAGTTTTTTTTTCGTCTGTAGAGTTTATATATTGTAATTAACTTGTGTGAAAAGTATTTTACCTTGTTAACAGATGCTTTCTTTTAATCGTAAATCTGTGTTGTCAAGGAAGGAGGTTGCTGCATTTTCAAAGGTTTGCTTTTTTTTTTTTTTGTATCATAGTACTTTTAATTTTTATTTTAAGTATTTTTAAATTTTATTTCGTGTTCTATTTTCTGTATATATATATATATATATATATATATATATATATATATATATATATATATATATATATATATATATATTTTTTTTTAGTTACCCACAGAGGAAACAAGAGAAGTTTTAGAACAGGTTTTATTTATTAGGATATAAAAATACAATTTTTGATGATAATTTTGTGATTTATGAAGAATTATTTAATAATTTTATGCTATATTTTGAAGATTACATAACATTATAATTAGTTAGCAAGACAACGACCAACACAAGGTTGGATGTTCAGGCTCAATACAGACATTGATTTCTTGGAGAGGTAAATCTAACTTTTTACATCATAAATATGTATTTAGCCTTAATGTATGTAGTATATCCATATGTATGTAGTTTAATTTTATTAAACAATTTATAATCTAAAAATTTTTTTTATAAAAAAACACCAGATGCACTATTTAGATGGCCAAACATAAATTAGCATATCAATTCTCACAAGTCTAGACTTGTTATTAGAATTCATATGGTTGAGGTAAAAAGTAACAGTGCTAATCTTGACCTGTTTTAATGACTTTTATGTAAGGCTTATTCATTCTTGACCTTTTTTATGGCTTTTTCAGAATAAGAAGGAAAAAATAAAGAATAATGAAAAAAAAATTGCTCCTACAACCCAATTCCGTTGATAGAGCAGCATGATAAAATAATTTTTTTTGCTATAACTAACAATAAAGAGATACTGATTGATTAAGGTATAGTTGGTTATACTCTTGTGTTTGCAATCATTTTTATAAACTTACGGTTACAATTCTAGAGAAATGATGTTTCTTTAAAAAATTAGTAAAAACTAATTTTTTCCTTATTTCACTTGGGATTGACAGCTCAGTCTAGTCCTTTGATGCATATTTTTGCATTTTTTTAAATGATTAATGATGATTGATGATAATTGATGATGATGATGATTGATGATTACTCAAGTCAACAAAAACAAAAAAAATTCTGGTGCAGAGCAAACAATTTGTTTTTTGTATAGCATTTCTCATTTGATTTCAAATATGCAATCATTTTTCACCATCATGTCAAGTTGTAAAGATATTTGAGTTCAAATATTTAGTATTTAGGCTAAAATCCCTAATATTGTCCAAAAAAAAACTTGTTAAAAAGTATGTTAACCTGGGTCTCAAAAGAAATGTATTTTCATTGAGATTTTAGAAAACATAAATATTTTTCTTTAAAATTTATTAACAAAAAAATTATGTGAAAAAATGCTAAAGACTTTTAAAAAAATTTTATCAATATTACAAAAGTACTTATTTTTATTACAAGCTATTATTATTTTCAAAATCTCGATGAAAATACGCTTCTTTTGAGACCCAGTTTGACACACTTTTGAATTATTTGACAACATTAGGAATTTTACCCCAAATACCCAAATATTTCAACCCAAATATATTTACAACTTGACATGATGGTGAAAAATGAGTTGCATATTTGAAATCAAAATAATAAATGCTATACAAAAAAAAATTGTTTGCTTGGTACCAAAGAATTTTTTTTTTTTTTTTTAATGACATGTGTCAACATAATCAATCATCATCTATTGATGATTGATTATGGTGGTAATGATTCGTGATAATTGATGTTTATTGGTGATGATATATATGTTTTTTATGTTTTTTTATGTATGTTTGTGTTCTGTCTGAACCTCTGGCGCGGTGTTCGCTCACCCGTAAGTTACTTTATTTTTATGTTTTTTATGTTTTTTTATGTATGTTTGTGTTCTGTCTGAACCTCTGGCGCAGTGTTCGCTCACCCGTAAGTTACTTTATGTTTTTTATGTATGTTTGTGTTCTGTCTGAACCTCTGGCGCGGTGTTGACTCACCCGTAAGTTGATTTATGTTTGTTTGTGTTCTGTTTATACTCTAATGCAGCGTGAGCTCAGTAACTAACTACTTACTCCAACTACAAAACGTACACTCACCTTAGACTCCTGTATTTTGTTAGATGCAGTGTTTTTCCTAATGCACTTCCAAAATGTCATGCCTGGTTTTCTCAAAGTACTGTTGCGGGAAGTAGCTCCTTTTAACTACTCCAGGTCAGGTCAGGATAATCGAGATCAATCTTGCTACTGGTATCAAATAACCCAGTACCACCTGCCACAAGCCCTGCTGCCTTGCAGAGTGTGCTCTTCTTATGCAAAGGCTAGGAGAAATAAACTCCAACTAAAAATTCCCCTGCCTTGGGGCTCTTGGTTGAGTAAAGGCTAAAGATGGTGTCTCGATAAAAACACTCATCCTGGGCAGATGTTAACTGCATCCAGCTAAACATCCCCTGCCTTGGGGCTCTTGGTTGAGTAAAGGCTAGAGATGGTGTCTCGATAAAAATACTCATCTTGGGCATATGTTAACTGCCTCCTGCTACTGTCTTGTAGAAGGCCTCCTAGGCAAAGACTTTAGAGGTAAGCAGAAAAATTCTGCTAACCAGCCTCGAACCCCTTCTTCATCTATTAGGCTGGCATAGATGTAACCTGTGTTTCCTGCCTAGGATGATGAATGCTGGATCTCCTTGACTCTACTCATAGAATTTTGCTTATGCCTCCTTGATAATGGCTATGCAACTCTTCCTGTTATCTCCATATGAGGGTACAGCTCTAAAACTACATTTAATGGTTCTGAGGCCGGCTGGTAGTAAGGTTTCCCGAACTCTGTGGTAGCTCTCAGAGAGGCTGATTCCATCAACAGCTGCAAAATAACAGAGTATTAACAGTGCCATGTTGCGCATGGATGGTGTCCCTGTTAATGCTTTTGGTGTGCATTGTCAAGGCCACATAAGGAGCCCTATGTCACGGCTTAGGGTTAATTAACAGGACTGAGACAACTGCATAGCTCATTGATTAGGAGGCTGTGCTCTATCTGTGAATGAGTCAAGTTCTCATTAAACCCAAATCATGACCAAAGTAACCAAAAATTTAAAACCTAAAAAACCATCCACACCACCTAAATATTTTAATATATCTTTTACAAATATTCGCGGTCTACAAAGCAACTTTCCATCAGTTGAGTCTTACCTCCTGCAAAATTCACCAGACTTGCTTGCACTCAGTGAAACAAATTTAAGTTCTGCAATTCCTTCTTCAGATGTCAGTGTTGATGGGTACTATCCTTTGATTCATAAAGACTCCAATAGTCACATGCTAGGTTTAGGGGTATACATACGCATTAATTCCCCTATTTGTCGTGAAATCAGGTTCGAATCCTTTGACCATTCTTTTATGTGCTTTCGCCTAGCACCTCTTTACTCTATCACCTTTCTCTTTGTTCTTTATCGTTCTCTTTTGAAAATTGCACTCTTTTAGATGTTATCTCTGATCAAATTGACCATGCCCTCTCTCTTTACCCCTCTGCCAATATTGTTGTTGTTGGTGATTTTAATGCCCATCACACTGAATGGCTTGGCTCTAACACCACTGATCCTGCTGGCACTAAAGCCTTTAACTTCTGCGTTTCTCAATCTCTTACTCAGATAGTTAACTTTGTGACTCGTTTTCCTGACAACCCTAATCATTTACCTTCACTCCTTGACTTATGTCTTGTCTCTGACCCTAGCTTATGTTCAGTTTCTCCCTTTTCTCCCTTAGGTGGTTCTGACCATGCAATGATCTCTATAAATCTTTCTTCTCGTACTTCTTTTTTGGGCTCACCTTATCATCGCACCACCTACTACTACCCTAAAGCTGACTGGGATTCCTTTCGTGATTTTCTTCGTGATGGTCCTTGGGCTGATGTTTTTTCTCTCTCAGCTGACAAATGCGCCTCCTACGTAACCTCCTGGATTCAGGCTGGAATGGAAGCTTTTATTCCTTTTTGTCGGTTTCAAGTCATGCCTCATTCTACTCCATGGTTTTCTCCTTCTTGTGCCCCTGCTATATCCAATCGTAATCATTTTTTTCATCTTTTTCAAAAGAACAACTCTCTTGAGAACAAACGGCTATTTATTATTGCAAGAAATCGATGTAAAAAGGTGCTTTCTGATGCTAAACTCCATTATTCTCAGTTCACTAAATCTCGCATCTTATCGCAGAAGTTAGGCTCTAAAGACTTTTGGAAAATCTTCAACAGCATTGTTAACAAGGGTAGATCTAACATTCCATCTCTCATTCATGGGACTGATCTTGTTACCTCTCCCAGGGATAAGGCAGAACTGTTTGCAAAGAACTTTTCTTCTAATTCCACTCTTGAATCTTATGGACATTCTCTTCCTTCCATTCCAGTCAAACAGGTTGACCCATTGTTAGACATTCAAATCACTCCGGCTTCTGTTGCTAAAGTCATATCTCAATTAAACTCGTCTACAGCTTGTGGTCCAGACAACATTCCTGTCACAGTCTTGCAGAATTGTTCTCCAGAACTTTCTTCAATTCTCTCTAAACTATTTAACAAGTATTTGACTGAGTCTTGTTTTCCTGCTTGTTGGAAAATGGCATCTGTGGTTCCAATATTCAAAATTTCTGGAGAAAATTCTGACCCCTCCAATTATCATCCGATCAGTCTTCTTTCTGTTATTAGTAAGGTCTTTGAGTCTTTGATCAACAAATTCCTCACATCTCATCTTGAGTCAAATAAACTGCTGTCAGACAATCAATACGGTTTTCGATCCTCTCGCTCTACGGCCGACTTGCTAACTGCTGTAACTGAAAGATTTTATCGTGCATTAGATGGAGGCGGTGAGGCTAGGGCTATTGCTCTCGACATATCTAAAGCTTTCGACAAAGTTTGGCATGCTGGTCTTCTCCATAAGCTTGCTTCATATGGTGTTTCTAAGAAAGTTTTTGAGATTATCAAATCATTTCTTTCTAACCGGTTTATTAAAGTCATCCTTGAAGGCCAACACTCTTCTTTATTTCCAGTAATTTCTGGGGTTCCCAAAGGTTCCATTCTGGGCCCTGTTTTGTTTCTTATCTACATAAACAATCTTCCTGACAACCTTTCATCTAAAGTAGCTCTTTTTGCTGATGACTCAACTTTATACTCCTGTCTTGACAAAAAGTCTTCTCTTTTCGATCGCCTAAAACAAGCAGCTGATCTTGAATCTGATCTCACTTCAGTAATAGATTGGGGTTCACAGTGGCTTGTGAATTTCAACTCTAAAAAAACCCAATTGCTTACTGCAAACAACTACCGTAATATGGTCAACATTCCTATATTAATGAATGGCAATCCTCTTACTGAGTCGTCCTCTTTACGTCTTCTTGGATTATCGCTTACTACTGACCTTTCATGGAAACCATATATACAATCGATTGCTAAATTAGCTTCTGCTAAGGTTGCTTCTCTTTATCGTGCTCGCCATTTCCTTCTGATTCCATTCTCTACCTCTACAAATCTCTTATTCGTCCCTGTATGGAATACTGTTGTCATATTTGGGCTGGTTCTTCTAACGATTCACTTTCTCTTCTTGACAAGGTCCAAAAACGCATTGTAAATGTTGTTGGACCTGGACTATCTGCTAAGCTTGAACCTCTTTCCCATCGTCGTAAAGTTGCATCTCTTTCTCTTTTCTACAGATACTATCATGGTCACTGCTCAAAGGAGTTATCATCTCTAGTTCCATCAACTAAAATTCATTCTCGTTTTACTCGTCACTCAGCTAAGTCTCATTCGTTTACTGTATCTGTCCCTGCATGCTCTAAAAACTTTTATTCATCTAGTTTTTTTCCCCGCACTTCAATCCTTTGGAACTCTCTCCCATCTTCATGTTTTCCTGACTCATACAACCTTCTGTCAACCGTTTCCTTGCTCTATAACTCTGTTCTTTTTTTTCCTAGTAACTCCCAACTTAATAGTGGTCGCTTGCAGCCTTGTTGGGAGTGAATGCAAATAAAAAAAATAAAAAATAAAGAATAAAAGAGACTAAAAACAGAATAGATAAAAACAGAGACTAAAATAAAAGAGACTAAAAACAGAATAGATAAATTTTTTTTTTTTTTTACCGTTTAAGTCACTAAAATTTATCACAATTATAATTAATGCAGTTATAGTTAATGAATTTTATAATTTTCTTTATTAAAATATTTTTGTACTAAATGTTGAGTTGGAGTATTACTTTAGTTTTTCTGTTTAATGGAGGGGGAAAGTATTTATGGACGATTTCTGCAATTATGCACATTAAATATGTTGTCTTATTATTAAATATAATAAGGCAAAAACTATCATTTAATACATAGTATTATAAAATATATATATTTATTATTTGCTAAAAATATATATATTTATTATTTGCTGAAAAAGAAAGTAAATTTTTATTGTTGCCTAAAAAAATGGTAATATTCAACAAAAAAATGATGTTAACAAGAATTTTATATTATAGATTGATGATTATTATTTTTATTAATAACATGTATTTTTAAGTTATGTACTATCAAATAAATTCGAATAGTTATTAAACATAATTTATACAATATTAACAAAAAGCTAGTTCATATCATTTTGACTAAAGTTAATAAGCTTCTACAATAAAAGTTTTCAAAAATACTATTCAAAATTGCTTTGTTTAGACACGCTGAAGCATGTGCAGAACAAGCAGTAATATGGAAACACAAATACACAAGGTAAGATATGAGGTTCATTTATGCTATGATATATCAAAATTCTGATGAAAATATTAAAGTTTTAAAAATTGTTAAGTTGAATATTATCAAATTATTATCATATATCATGCAATTTTTTGTAGTTGACTCGATTATTAAGAATAGACTGATTTTAAAACAAACATTATTTTTTTTTAAACATTTTTTTATGAAGTTTGGTTGGACAACTTAACCTTTCAGATGATTTTTTAAATATTGAATGGAATGCAACAACATTTCCTGGTTTATTCTATTTTCCTCATCGAAAACCTAATACCCCTAGCAGACGTTCGACATTAATTGGAGAGAAAAAAGAGGCAACGCAAAGGAGGAGAACTGTTTCACAGAGTTCTTCTGACGGTCTACAAGGTAAAAAGACTGATTCTAAAAAACATTCTGATGAGCAATCATTATCAAAAGCCAGATCTAGAAGCAAATCTCAAGAAGATATTAGCATTATTGTTAAAGAAGAACACCTTAGCCCAGTTAAAACTGAAACCTTTCAAGTAAAAAAAGAGCAAGATTCTCCTGAAAAAGTAGATGATTTAGACACAAATATACAACAAACTAAAGTAAAAAATATTTCACTACTTATTGATGCTGTAGAAAAACTTAAAGCAAAAAAAAAACTTCAAACGCAAATAGAAAGTGACCCTGAGCCAGAAAACCAACCAATGGAAACATCTCTTGAAGAAGTTGATAATGTAACTTTAGATCGTGATTGTATTGAAATTGAAGTAAATGATGCTCACGAAGAGAATTCTTTTGAAATTTTTATACCACCTGCAAAACGAACTTTTGAAGAACGTGAGAAACCACCTTCTGATATTTTTTTAAAAGAGCTGAAGAAGTTTTGTAGAGAAACAGTACTTTCTGGGTGTTTAAGCCTTGCTGATTTGAAAGAAGTTCTAAGTGTAAAACAAAAAGGTAAATAGTATATTTTCTTTCTGAAAAAAAATTCAGTTAAATTCAGAGTTGTTAGTTAGCCTTGGCCTTAGCCTGGCCTTAAGGCTAAAAATTGAGGCCTTGGTCTTGAAGCTGTTGGCCTTGCCCTTAGTCTTGGCCTTGGCTTTGATTGTTTTGGCCTTGGCCTTAAAAAAATTCATATTTTTTAATTGATTTCGTTGAATTCTGCGCATAACCTTGGTCTATTTTTACAAAATGTGGTTTTATTGTCGCAGCACTCACTACTTACAGTTTTGTTAATAATTGACCTTAACGTAAGGCAAAAATTAAAGTGTTAGGTCTTGCAAATGTTTGCGTAGGTCTCGGCCTTGAAATTCTTTATCTTGGCCTTGTAACTTTTGGCCTTGGTCTTGGCTTTGGCTTTATAACGTGTGGCCTTGGCCTTGCTACTTTTGGCCTTGTTAACAACTCTGGTTAAATTTATTAAATGCTATTATTAAGTTTAATTAATTTAAGTTTAATGCAATAAATAAATTAATAAAAATTAATAAAATAACTCAATATATAAAATATTCTAAATATATTAATAATGTAAAAATATAGTTATTGTATATGTATTATAAGATAGTTCTTATTATCAAGTTTTATAATATTAGGTTTCTACTTTCTACTGAAGGAATAAATATGTATTAATGACCCTTTCCATCTCTATTTTAGTATGAAATCAAAATATTAACTTTGATTAGCAAGTTTATCTTGTTATATAACCATTACAAAACAAGAGCTTATCATACTTATACTCTTATGGAAACCTTTTTTACGTTGATCTGTTTTTTTTCTTTTTTAAAAAGAGATTGGGAACATCTTATGCACGGGTGTCACCGACGAGTTACTTATACTTTGTCTTGTCGAAACGGGTGCATATGAAGTGAAGTTAAAAGTGAGTGTTTTGTAGATTTTTTTTTTTTTGTTGTTTAATTTAAAATGAATTTTTAAATGCTTTTAAATGTTTTCTGTTTTTTTTTTATTGTTGTTGTTTTTATAGTGGGGAAAAGAACACGAGAAAGTGATTCCAGAAGAAAAAAGGCGTTTATTTATGTACCCTGAACTGGGTGAGCCTCATGACAAAGTACGTATACTAATTTAACAAAATTTTACCAACTTATCCCTTGAAAATGAATGTAGTGACGCAGTTTAAACTGCTTGTGCATAAGCAAAAATAGTGAAAGTGAATGAACAATTTTGTTGGAGGACGTGGGTAAACTTTAAGAAATCGAAGAACTTATGTTGAGACATTGTAGATTGTATTGAGACATTGTAGATTGATTTTTTTTTGTGTGTGTGAATTTTTAAACACTCTAGAAGGCGTTATTTATCTTTTAGTCCTTTTTTTTTTCTTTTTTTTTTTCTTTTGTTCTAAGCTTGGGATTCTGGAGATGTACGGTTACAGAATTTCCTATTTTATTTATTTTATTTCAGTTTCGAATGGTAGTAATGAATATGTTCGAAAATTCGCTTTCAGTTAGACGAAAAGAAATAATAGAAAAATTCAACACAATTCTTAATTCGCAACCTACTAGCCACGGATATACTAAGTTGCTGTCCGTAAGTTAGTTCAATTTTAAACAATTTTAAATCTGTTTGATTACTTTTGTTGTGTTAGTTTGAAACCGCTTTATTTGCTTGCTTATAGGAATTCTGTGAGAATCATAATGGCAATTGGTATTTATTTGGCGTTTACCAAACTATCAAAAAATATAACCTGTAACGAGTTTCTTAACTAAAAAATATTGCTATTGGTAATATATACTATTAAAAAATTGTGACGTTTGCAAATTTTTCGACAATATGATTTATTCAATGGCCTATGTCACTTATGAAAGAAACTTTTTTTTAAAAACAAAAATTTTTTTATAATTAAGAAGTTATCATTGTCTATTTGGCTTATCGTAAAATGGCGTGCAATTTTCGCGAAAAACTCTTAGAGTATAAGTTTATTAGAGTGTGTATATATATATATATATATATATATATATATATATATATATATATATATATATATATATATATATATATATATATATATATATATATATATATATATATATATATATATAGCTGCGAAACATAAAATAGCACCACCATCAAAAATTGGCTGAAATTAGAACTTTTAACTATTTTAAATACATATTTAAAAGTAAAATGGCTTATAATTTTTATAAAAACAAAGTATACAAGTTTTAATATATAGTATTCATTTATTAAACAAAAATTTAAAAAAAAATCAAATAAAACGCGAAAAAAATAATAGCACCACAGCTTTAATGTGTACTTTAAAATAAGGAAATATAATGAGATCAATTGTTTTAAACATTTTACAATAAATATTAGTTATTTCTTAACATATTACTATTTTGTAGCGTGACCTTTATTGGCAAATACGGCTACACAACGTCTTGGCATCGAGTTAACCAAATCCTGACATCGCTTTAGCGGTATTTCGCTCCATGTCTCCTTAACTACGTTCTAAAGTGACTCCTTCGTGGTGGGTTTGGCAGCAGCAACCACTTCCTTTACATCAGCCCACAAATTCACGATTGGGTTTAGATCTGGCGACTGTGCTGGCCACTCCATAACGTTCACTTTATGCTCCTCAAACTAATTCTTCGCCTACTTGCTAGTGTGCTTTGGGTCATTGTCCTGTTGGAACACCCAGGACAACGGCATTTCATAGTCTGCAAACGGCAACATCACTTTATCCAATATATCAACATAAACGTGTTGGTCCATAATAATAGTAATGTGATGAATAAGCCCTACTCCATAATAAGAAAAGCATGCCCATATCATTATACTACAACATCCATGTTTAATAGTTTTGATAGTATTTTTTGGATTGTGTTCTACATTCGGCGGTCTTCTGACATACGCTTGAGAGCCTTTTCCACCATAAAGCACAATCTTACTTTCGTCTGTCCATAAAATATTCCTCCATTTTTAGAGTGGCCAATTTGAGTGTTTTTTAGCAAACGCAATACGCTTTACAACATGTCTGCCACTTAGAAATGGAACTTTTTTGGGGCTAGAGGCTTTTAATCCATTAACTCGCAGACAACTCCGAACTGTTTGTACAGTTGCATCGATGTTAAAGTCTTTTTTAGCTCGGTAGCTGTTTTAAAGGGTTCCTTTTTAGCCTGTCGCACTAAGCGATTGGCCAGCAATTTTGAAATAGAACGTTTTCGACCACGTGTCTCAGGCATTTCTTGAAATTTTATGGCGTTTCTTATCATTTTATTCGAACATTCAACTAAACGACCAACTTCTCTATCAGATTTCCTTGCTGATATCAACTTTCGGATCAGTTCTCGTTTTTCTGCACTACAATGCTTTCCGCGTCCCATCTTATATGTTATTGTCTCCTACTAATACGCACTAACATAAACGAATAAAACAGCAAAAAAAAATCCAACGCTTGCTATTTTCACAATTATTTTTACCGTTATCAGAGTATTTTACTACAAAAGAGTATGTGGTGCTATTTTATTTTTCGGTCAGAATTGGCATTGTTGATTAAAATCGGGCAACACCAAACAGTTTTTTTCCCAAAATGGTTTGTTTTAAAATAAACATGTTAGCTAATATTTTAAACAGCAAAGCTATAAAAAAATCTTATTTTGCATGGTGTTTTCTTAACAAAAAAGAAAATTCGCTTAGTGGTGCTATTTAATTTTTCGCAACTGTGTGTGTATATATATATATATATATATATATATATATATATATATATATATATATATATATATATATATATATATATATATATATATATATATATATATATATATATATATATATATATATATAAATATATATATATATATATATATATATATATATAATATATATATATATATATATATATATATATATATATATATATATATATATATATATATATATATATTATCACATCAAAATAGTTGATATGTTAATTGTAATTGATATAAAAAAGGTTTAAATAAAATAAAAAAATATGCTGAATAAACTCTGACTGAGTCCTTTGGTGGATTTTAGAATAAACGAGTTTTATTAAAGTAGTTCTAAACAAGGACATCATTTCACCGAAAACGGTGAAATGATGTCCTTGTTTAAAAGAAGTAATAAAAGAAGTTAATATCGAAGAAGTAATGAAAGAAGTTAATCCGACTAATACACATCATTTTGCTACAGTCGAGAAAGTTTAACACTTCTCAGCGGGTATTTGTTTTAAAAAGTTACGTTCTAAATGTATTTTAAATGTCTTTTAAACGTCTTCTAAACATTCTTACGTAAAGAACATTTAAAAGACGTTTAATAAACGTTTAAAAGACATTTAGAACGTAACTTTGAAAAATAAATGCCCGTAGGGTTGAATGAGCTTATGAACAAGTATCAACTATAAAAGATTATAAAAATAATGGCATGCGTCTTAAGATCAGAAGTAAAAAGAAATGTCGTGGTTTGCTATCAGCCAAATTGAAGCTGATCAAAAATGTTCAACACGAATTCAAATATTCCTGAAAGTATAAAGAAACTTCAGAAAAATTACGATTACACAAAAATCACGATGGTCTACTAGTCTGTATGGGTCGTGTACCAGGTGAAATGAACATAAAATGGCAGTTTAACTTAGCCAGAAGTGGGTTTGGTGAAATGATCGTTACATAAAGCAACTAGAAGGCTTCATCTAACTTTCGAACAATTTAAAGAGGTTTAGATTGATATTGAGAATACGTTAAATACAGGCCCGTAGGAACAAAAAGTATATTGGGGGGCAGTGCTGGATTAAGGGAACCCGAAATAGTTTTAAGGACTTTTTTTTTTTCAATCATTTTTTTAATCAATTTTTTCAAAACTATATTTATTTGAAAAATTATTAGGAGGGGGGGGGGCAAATGCCTCTGCTGCCCTTCTCCCCCCCCCCCCCCTCTCCTTCCCCCGGTTGCTACGGGCTTGGAATAACCGGCCAATAGGATACACTGAAAATGATATTCAACATCCAGTTTTAACATTACACATGTTTCTACATGGTAAAGGTATTACTATCCCTTTCGAAAATACGGAAGATAACGTTGTTTAAAAATAAATTAAAAGATCTCATTTTCTTTATTGAAAATATCTTAGAATATTTTTAATTTATCTTGTGATAAAAAATAATTTTTATTTTCATGTATGTTCAAGTTTTGTTTTATACTTGTTTACAATTTATTTTCATTTATCTAAGTACGATTTAATGTTTTTATGTTATTTTTTACGTACTCTTATTGTAAAAAAGCGTTTTTTTAATAATATTTTACGTTCTCTTTTTTGTAAAAGGCTTCTGACAATAAGATCATTGTGATCTTCTTTTAGAAGCCTTGTTTGTATTTGAAAAATATGTAATTTATATATATTACGTCAATTGTAAACAAAACAATAAAATTAAATAAAAACGTATTTTAGTTACGGATAATTGCCAGTTGTGTTTAAATATCGTTGGTTTATATTAAAATATGTTAAGCATTAAAAATTGATATGCCTTAATCAGTTGAACTCATCAAACAGAATATTAAATTCACGACAATGCTTACTTACTTACATACTTGCATATATACATAGGGGAGGTGGGGACATAACCGCCCCCGTAACGTTTGGATTAATGTTTTGTAAAAATAAAAACAAAGTATGTTTTTTTAACAGTTTATTTTAATAACCACATTATTAAGTTTTAAATTGGTGCAATTAAGAAAAAAATTAAACACTTTTTTAAAATGTTATTACACAAAAATTACGCTTAGTGAAAAAACGGTTTTGCCCCCATTGTGGGGCACAACCGCATTCTCACCAAAATCGTTAGGGGTACACTTTTCTTGGTACATTTTCTTTAATTTTAAAATAAGAAATAGACAACTATATACCTACAATATATAATAATATAATAATCACCAGATATACATAAGTGTAACAAGATATCGATTTATACATCAACAAATACATACATACATACATACATACATACATACATGCATACATACATACATACATACATACATACATACATACATACATACATACATACATACATACATACATACATACATACATACATACATACATACATACATACATACGTACGTACGTACATACATACGTACGTACAAACATGCATAGATACATACATAGATTGATTTTAGTTATATCAAAAAACTAGCCTTATAAATAATTTAAATGTGGAACAATAATGAGGCGTGGCAATCTTTCAATAAGGTTTTAATTTTTCAACACTACATTTAAATTTAATGGGAAACTTATCCGGTTATTAAACTATTGTGCAAAATCGTACGCCCTATTAGACCACTGTAAGCAATAATATTGCGTTAATATTTGATTTTTGTTAGCAAATGTTTGAACTTTTGTTTTAATAACAATGTAATCTTAATAATATAAATAATAAAAAAAAGAACAACTTTTTTTGAAAACTTATGACTATTGGAGGCCTATTGATGTGTATTTATAAAATAGAGGAAAAACAACCTAACATAACAATTTAACATTAAAAAAAATTAAAATAAAAAAAGGAGAAGTAGAAACACAGCATAAAAACTTTTAACTACTTATTTTGTAAAAGTAAAATCAAAATGATTCTTTAAACAGTTTGTAACATTTTTTTTTGTTTATATTTGTTTTTTCCCTTTTTTAGTATTTTTCACGAATAAGAATATGACAGAACTATTTTTAATGTTCGAACTTATTACATTATTATTTTATTGAAAAATTTACCAGTTTCAAATTTCTTCAGTAGTTGCTTTATTTTCACCGTTTTATTAATTTTTTCAATATATTTGCCAACACTGATTAATATATTGAAGAATTTCTTCAAACAAGATACTTCTTATACTTTCGCAACTGGTTTGTTGAATTTTTTAATAAAGAGAAGTTGTCATTATCTATGTTTGAGACTCATCTATGTCTGAGACTTAAATCCTCTATAGCGGAAGCAGTTTTAAAAAAATGGCTTAAGAAACTTCACTAAAAAGTAAACAAGCATTTTCATAGCTTCAAGTAAAGAGATTAAAACGTTAGTTTTCCATTGCCACGAGCGTTTTTGATCTTCTTAGCTAAATCAGTGTGGTATTTGCTCTTCAACAATCAAATGACTTTTTTATCCATTGTCTGCAATCTTGGCCTTTACCTGAGCAGGAGAAAAAGTTTTTATTGCTTATATTACAATGCAACTCCATACCATAAAAAGTTATTTAATCCAGCTTTTAAATTGATCTTTAAACAGTTCAAAAAAAAAAAAAAAATTAGTTGAATAATGAATGATTGGTTTTGCCCAAATGAATTGATAAGTGTTTTAACTTAATAATTTGCCGTACTTGTTTCAAGCTTTCTTTTAGCAACTTTTAACGTTTCATCCTAATAAATAAAATAAACAAATAAATAAAACTTAATAGAAGCTATTTGTAAAAATTTTAAGGTAGCTAAATCATTGAAAGTTTATTAATGCATTGTATGCACTTATATGCAATTCAAAAAAAAGTTTTTTTTATTTGCCGATACAACCACAAAAACAAACAGTACGAAAGTAGTAAGTAATCCGACTTAATCTGAGTAAGACTAGCAAATACTAAGTACTAAGTGGATAGAAAAAAATCAAGGGGTATTTAAAATCTGCCAGACTTAAAAGTCCGTTTAATATAGATTCCAAGTTAGCGAGACTTTACTGTATTTTATACTAAGTACCTTTATCATTATTTTAAAAGAAATACATTTATGCTTTTGTAAGGAGAGTTACATTTGTACTGAAGAAAGGAGAGTTTATCGATAGATATCGATTTTATCATCATCTATCAATAAAATAGGGAGAGTTGCGCTATTATACAAAAGATAGAGTTACATATATACATAAAGAACCGAGAGTTTCAACTATATATAAAGAAGGGAAAAGTAACACCTTTTTTTATATGTTAAATCACCTCCCCAAGGTCATGAAGAACATTAACACTGCTGCTGCGCGAAGAAATATATTGAGCGCGATGCTACCCGCGACGTGGTACGGATTGAACTCGGACTTTCTTAATTATGAAGCATGCGCTCTACCACTACACCACTACCGCTTAGTAGTCTATAAATGTTCTTTTTTCTATTCATACTTAATTAAATGATTTTAATAGGTTTTGATTGACCCCATTATCTAACCTTTATACTTTATTTTAAACCATTAAGAAATAGGTATTTCCTTTTAAGAGAAGTTATTTCAGCATTTTTATGCTTGGTCCGTAGAAAAAGTTTGTAAACGATAAAGGTTTTAAAGTAATGACTGTGTCTAATATATTTACATTCTGAAAATCGTATATTTTGATAATTATTGATTAATAATTTTTTTTATTGTTCAAACAGATGATAATTATTGCAACTAACTAAATGTTCAAAAAATATATAACTTAAACATAACGTTTAGTTTAGTTTAAGCTACATATAATTTGTTGCGAATTCGGAAAAAAACTTTTAAAAACTATAAAACGTGTACGCGAAATAAAATTGAAAGTATAAATACGCCATTTTTTTTCTGTGATTGTAATAATTTCTTGTCAATTGAGTTTGTCTATTGTTTACAACATGTTGCGGTTACATAAAAAATGTTTTAAGTTTAAATATTTTTTAGTTGCAAATGCATCCCCAACACCATTATTTGCGTTGTTAGATATTTTTATCAAATACATCACTACATCATTAGTCGTATTGTTCAACGTTTTTTTCACATACTATATGTACCATTATTGTGTTGTTTAAGTTTTTTTTTCAATCAAAATATATTTATTTTTTCAATTTAGAGGTCTGCATGCATGTTTTTAAATAGAAGTTTTTTTTAGTTGAAATAGAAAAGTTGAGTACAAGCCCATACAATATTGGAATAATAAATAATACAATGTATTAAGTTGAAATATATGTATGATACATTCTTACATATGGACGATATCGGTTCATAAAACCAATTGTTTCACTAATTTTTGATTGAATATAGCTAATGTAGCCATGAATATAGCCATGATAAATTTTCATAAAAATAATATAACTTCTCTCCTTCGACGGCCGCCTACCATGGATATATCTATCTTTACTGGATAAGATAGCTTAAAACATAAAAAAACGTAAATAAATAAAAAAAGAAAAATATATTATATATATATATATATATATATATATATATATATATATATATATATATATATATATATATAAATATATATATATATATATATATATATATATATATATATATATATACACATATACATATATATATATATATATATATGTATATATATATATATATATGTATATATATATATATATATATATATATATATATATATATATATATATATATATATATATATATATATATATATATATATATATATATAAGAAAAAGAAAATATAAAAAAATGGATGTGTATGTTTCTGCCAATATATGTATGTAGGCTACGTTTGGAGGTGAGCCATCATTTTACAGTGGCTTGGTGTTTTTGTCGACATAAGCGTAAACGGTAATTTATATATTTGGCAGTGGCTTGGCATTTTTGTTATCAGAAACGAAAATTTGGTTTGACACACAGCGATAAAACGAAAAAAGTGCGTATCAACGCTGTGTGTCAAGCCAAATTTTTGTTTCCGAAAATTTGGCTTGACACACAGTGATAACTATCTTATGGCTATCTAGGTCATTTTGCACAACCTTTTGAACAATCTGGAAATGTATTATATTCAGCCTGGAACTGAGAATATATTAATTATTTTCAGTGATATATAGTGAATAATATACAGCGATTATTAAAATTCAGTCATTATTTTAGACAAATTAGATTCAGTGTGCGCAAGAGATTTATCTAAAAAATTATGGACATTATTGTTCGCATGAGTCAGCTGTTATGGAAGACACAGTAATTTGATTGATGCAAGCCGTAAACACCATAACAAAAGAAAAAAACCATTAAATAAGAAAAAGAAAAAAAAAAAACATTTTAATTTCTTCAATAACGGTTTCTCTGTGACAAGACCTGGGGCCAATGCTATAAACAAAAAAACGATGTTTTTACCGTAAAACACAAAATTTTTTGCGCACCATCCGGAGGTTTTGCGTTAACAGCAAAAGAAAAAAGAAAAAAGAAAGTAAAAGCAATCAATTGTTATAAATATTATTATAAAAATATATACATATTGTGAAAATAAGTATACATATATATATATATATATATATATATATATATATATATATATATATATATATATATATATATATATATATATATATATATATATATATATATATATATATATATATATATATATTGTTTTTAATATATATAAATTTACTTATAACAAAATTTATAGCAATGAATTTTTGTTTTTTTTTTGCTTTTTACGCAAAACCTCCGTGGGGTGCGCAAAAAAATTTCGAGTTTTACGGTAAAAACTTCGTTTTTTTGTATATAGCATTGGCCCCTGATCCGTCTTCTTTGAGTATCCGCGTTCTTTATATTTATTTTTATTCTTTATTTCTTAACTTGTATATTGACTTGTTAACTTTTCTTTTTTTATATTATTTGTTTCTGTATAATAAATATTGTAATAAAGAACAAACAAACAAACAGAAAAAAAAAAAACAAAAAAAAAACATAGCAACTTTAAAAACTAATAAATTGCTTTATCACCAAAACAAACAAATTATAGGCCATCATAATTATTAAATTATGATGGCCTATAATTTCTGTTATTCTTTTATAAATTACTGTTTTCACCTCACGAAAGATGTAAAATTTACGTTAATAGTGACTACTGTCGCAAACTTTAATGCCACTTTTTTTTATATTCTTCTAAACTTAAGATATTTATTATTATACTTTATTAAAAATTCTGGTATGTATTTTATTTATGTTTTAAAACGACGATTTAAATGAATAAAAAGTATGTGTAATAAGTAAGTTTAATCGTTAAAATCGTTAAAATGCAAAACAAAATATATTTTTAGATATTAATTGATTTTAACCAATCGATATTTAAAATCGATTAGGTATATGTTAAAAGTTCAAACATTATTAACAGAAACAATAAATAGATAAGGTTAATTGACTGATTCTACAGATGGTCTTTTCAAAAAAATATTCCCTATATAACAAGCAAATACATTATAAAAATTTAATATTTGTGATATTAGTAAAACAAAATATAGTTATTTATTTATATATGAGTGCATGCGTTTAAAAACATTCAAAAAAAAAGAACTGAAATGTTTTGCTGTGGCAGATAGTTGAATGGATTTTTATAACTTCATTTATCTTTTTAATCTATTTCCAATTTATCTTTCCAAACTATCAAACAAACCTGATGTACGCAGTAAAAACGAATCAATTGCAGCGTAATCTCTTAAATATATTTGTTTTGAGTTAAATCTTGACGCAGTAACGCTTGAAATTAAAACGCGACTTATTTGAATACGTCGCATTTTGCAGAACCTTTTGCTATCGAGTATATCGTTGCAATCGTGCAGAAACATTTTTTATAGAACATTGTATGTAATTTTTAAAGAAAGAGCTTGCCGTAAATCGACTCTTTTTCTTTGTGTCTCTCTTATGTATTCTCTAAAAGATAAAACAACATGCTAACAAAACAAATGCTAACAAAACAAAAGAGAGTTTGAATGTTTATAAATAAGCTTTTCCCATTGTAAATTATTTATAAGCATATATAATATATAAAATACACGTTTATAATAGTAAATTAAAAATACTATCCTCATATATAGTTTTATTTTCTCCTAACCTTATTCTTCGTTCTTTTTTTCTTTTTTTAAAGTAAACTGAGAAAAAAATAGCTACAATACCAAGTGAAAAGAGAACACCAACAGTTACGGTAATCCCATCAGAACTTTTCTGGCTCTTCTAAAAAAGGAGTAAAGCGTTGAGGATTTTTTTTTTTTTTTTTTTTTCAATTAGCTAAAAAATTAAACAAAATTTTGTCGAGTGCGTGCTACTTGTCGGCTGTACTTAATCAAGTAGAATATTTTATTTTAGTTTATTAATTTTTGTTTTGTTTTGTTTTTGATTTTATAAAAAAAAAAAAAAGAAAAGAAAGGAAAAAAGGTATTTTTAGAAATAGTTCTAAAAATAAAAGCAAAGCGTTAACACTATTTTTTAAAATATCCAAAATTAATAATAGTAAAAGTAAGCAACCGTATTAATTTAAAATAACGTTAAAATTTTTTTTTTGTCTTAGAGTTCAGATGGCATCCCTGATATAATTGTATAATAGAATCGATAACAACACAAAAGCTTACATTTTTTGATGGTTGTTTAAATACTGTTAAATTGTGGTAAAATGACAAATGATTATCTTGAGAGGTTTCGGACGTTGTTGAAGACGTGGTTTCTAAAATAAACAATGCATCATTATTTTTTATCATTCTTTTTTTTTTATAAAATATTATAAACACTATTTGATCTAATTACTAAAGTATCTAACCATTAGATTTTTGAAATTTCAGGGTGAAAGAGAACCCATTCCCAAACAAAAATATTCCAAAATAAAGTAAGTAAATTGTGCTTGTACTTTTCCAGCTCATTACTTAAGAATTACGTGTACAATTTCTTTCGGTTTACTTTCAGCTTTAAATTTCAGTTTAATAACGGAAAGTTCAAGAAAATATTTAATTTCTTGATTGACGTTCAAAAAAGTTTTCACCAAATATTATTTTTGTGTAGAATCAATATAAGAAGGATTTAAAATATAGAAATTTTTTAAAAAACGATGTGCTTTATTCGCTTTTGGAACTTTGATTAAATTTGAATCAATTCAATTAAAATGCTGCAACATATAAATAACACGTAAATTATTCAACTTTAGTTTGTCAATTTTTATAACATTTTGGTCTAAAATATTAAGCAAACATTTATAGCAAATATAGCCGTGATTGAACAAAGTTTGTAAACCAACTACCATGAAGTATTAATGATTGATGAAATCAGGTCAAAATAAAGAAATTTGCAAACCAACCAATAAGATTAAAGCTATTCAAACAATCCAATAAGAAATGGTTTATTTAAAAGTATAAACATTGTCTTTTTATCTAACTCATACATTAGTATACATTAAACAAATTTAGTTATGTTTCATAAAAAGATTTATAACAATAATAAAACTGAAAGGTATCCGAATGGCTGAAATGCAAACCCTTTTCATAAAACTTTTTATTGAGTTTCTCGTTCCTACAAAATGAAAGAGAGTATTAAAAAAAAGAAAAATTAATTAAATTTTATGGTGCAAAATTATTTATATATTTTGTATATATATACATATATATTTTGCATATATATACATATATATTTTGCATATATATACATATATATTTTGCATATATATACATATATATTTTGCATATATATACATATATATTTTGCATATATATATATATATATATATATACATATATATATATATATATATATATATATACATATATCTATATACAATTGTATATAGTAAATATTATATATTGCTCAGATTTTAGATTAAATACAAACCAGGATCCAATAAAATGTGACCCTAGCATTTTTTGTGCGGTTTATTTTTATTTTTTTAAATATTTAAAGTTCATTAAAATCCAGCGAATGAAATTTAAAGTGATAAATCTTTAAAACGATTTCAGTTAAATTTTTTTTCAAATGTTATACTAAATCTTGTTTAAATAAAGCTCTCGCATTTTCTTTTTCTTTACTTTTTTATAAAAAAAATATATGAAACATCTGTGAAAAGTGTTAAATGTGTTTTCAAGTGTATTAATTCTTTATCGCTTGATAAAATCAATGCTGTTTAAATTGCCTTATAACCTATTCCTTCATAAACTAATAAATCCGACGATTGGGTTTTGTTCGATATTATCAATACAGTTGATATTAAATAACTTTTCATAAGCAACCAAAATTAAATGACAACTATTTTGAAAAAATTTTCTACTTTTACTAAGTAACATATATATATATAAGAAATAAGCATATTAACGTGTAATAACGTTAAATTAACATGTAATAACGCGTAACAACTTTAAGTATGACAAACGTTAAAACAACATCTTTTCTTCTTTTTATTTTAAGCATTTTTGTTTATTAAATAGTTTACTACGCGCAACATGTTAAAGATGGAGCTATAAAAATCATAAAATAGTAATTTTGGTTGAGCTAAAAACGATAGAAAAGGTAAATGCAAGAACACTATAGATGTACCACAATGTAACTTACACTGTGTTATACTCATTATTTATTTTTTTGTTATTAGTAGTAAATTAGGTCCTCCAAAAAGTTGTAATAGTCTAATTAGAAAGCTTCGCAGTTACATTTAAATAGCAATTTCACACATTCTTCCTTACCATTGATGCATATATTGTCCAGACCCGGCTTTGAACCATCTCCAGTTCTGAAGCCAGAATTCTAACTACTACACCATAGCTGCTACAACTTCATACCGTTTTAAAGCAAAAGGTCAACTCCATTATCATTCAAGGGCGGATCCATGAAAAAGGAAAAGGGGTGAGAGACAATCTTTAGATTTAATTTTTACTTTTAGATCCCTTAGATTTTTTGAAAATTATTTTTTTTTTATGTATTTATATACATTTAACACACCATTTTCTTTGAAATAAAATTAGAAGTAAAATTAGGCAGGCTGTTCAAAAATGATATGAAATTATAATAAAATTTTAAGATGCCAACATTAATTTGGACTAATGAGATAATAATAATATATTACGTCGTTTTTTTGTTATATAGTATAAGACTAATGTTCTAATAAAAATTTAGTAAAATTATATTATGATTTGTGGGCTAAAATTGCTCCACTCATTAGATGGTCTGAATCCACCAAATCAAATCAACCCAAAAACTGCCTCCTCTCCTTTACTGGATGGTCTAGATCCGCTCCTGCTATTAACATAACATAATTCAAATCACAGTGCGGTAGATTGCGTGTTATCTTTGACATTCAAATAGGTAAAACGGAACACGCAGTAAGTTGCAGTGTTGTAAAATAATACTGTTCTCAATTTTACCATTTTTATTGTAAAAGTTTAACCATAAGTAACCATAGTAATGATTTATCTAAAAATCGTGTTTTAATCAACTGAATAAAATATTTAGAACTAGTGCTTAATTATTAAAGCTTATTTGTATAGTTTGTGGTCAGTTGTTACAATTTAAAGCGTATGTTGGAATGATTTATTTATATCGATATTGATTTTCATGCATAAAATCATAATGGAATTGTGTCTCCCAGTTTGAAAATTGACATTATTTATAAGTTTAAAATTAAAATATAATCTTTGACAATGCGCAATTAGCCAAAATGAAGAAAAAATTAAAAAATAATTTTTTTTAATAGCATAGCAGAGGTGTAGCCATAAGAGGGGGGGGCAGGTAGGGCATTTGCCCGGGGCACTATTCTAAGAGGGGCGCCAAAAAGGGTAAAAAATAATAAAAATAAATGAATTCACAACTTAAATCTAGTGCCAACAACTGCTCAGTGACTAACAGTCAAACGACTACAAGATCCCACAATCAACTTTAAAGATGCAGCCTCTAATATAGAAATGTTGGAAAATTATCTCAAAGAATTTCGTGTTCATTTGTTCCAAAATGCAATTGAGTATAGCAAGCGCAGATGTATGGAATGGGAAATTTAAGTTTGAGAGGAGAGTCAGGCAACGGCAAATAATGCCAGATGAATGGGATGGAGATAGTGGCCTCTCTGCTGAAGATAAAGTTAGCAGAGTTTTGAAAATGATATTGGATCGTTTCCAACAAGAACTAACAACTCGCTTTGAACAATTAAATAATCTCAATGAAAAATTTGGATTCTTACTCAAAGTGAGAATATTGCTAAAGAGGGATGGTGATGAAAATCAAGAAAGTTTGCAGCAACAATGTTAGGATCTGGAAAACTTATACAAAACAGATATCAGTGGAGCAGAATTATTTAATGAAATCGCAGACTGTCAGATGCTGTTTAAATCTTGTGGGGGCCCAATAACATCAACCCCACTTGATTTATTTTCATTTATTTTGTCATACGGAGTTGCTAACGTTCCTTCAGCAAGTTGAAGCTTATTCTTTCATATCTACGAGCTTCAATGGGGCAACAACGTCTTGTTGATTTGGCAATTCTTAGTGTCGAAAGATAAACTCTAGAATCTACAGACTTTGACGACATAATAGATAAATTTGCTGCAGTTAAAGCTAGAAAGATCAAATTATAATTTATAAATAGTTATTAATTATTGGATCTGATTGACCATCTGTCATTTTCAATGATTAATTCACATGAACAATAATGGATACGTAATTGGAAACATGAGTTAAATTGGGTTTGGATTGTGATTAGCATTTGCATTTTTTAAAATAAAATTGACACATACTTGGAAACATTAAGTGTTTTTTTTTATGTCGATTTTAAATTACGATGTATAATAACCTTTTTATTATAAAATTTATATTATTTTATTGAATACTTTGTGGTGCAGGTTGCTCCAATTAATTGACACTCTAATTGCGTTGGACAATATGTATATTAACAATTTAAGTTTGGTTTATAATCTACAGCTGTAACTGTGGTATCTAATAATAAGCTTAGGTATGTAAATGATACACATCTAATTTTATTTGGCGACATCAATAATATTCTATGTGTTTTATTATGACAGTGGTATATGGTCTCTACATAGCAAGTAACCAGTGGAGGATAAAACACAATACCATACTTAAATTAGTTTTTTAAACGGAAAAAAAATACATTAATAACTCAATGTTGCACTAAACGTAAGAATGTGCAATTGAAATACAATTTTATTGTATTTAAATTGCACATTCTTACGTCTAGTGCAACATCTGTCAGCTTTCTCTAAGATATCTATCTAACTAGATTCCTTCTAACTTTGACTCTTATTCTTCTTAAACTCACTTGGCCTGGTAAAGTAGGTTATGATACTCTTTAGTAAGCTGAACTTGTCTTTGTGGGCCTTTGTACGTGATATGGAAATTAGCTGGAGGAGGATAAATTAAATACCATACTTAATTTAAATTATAAATAGTTTACATTAATTTTTGTAGGTATAATTATATATACTTCTTAAAACATCTACTTATAATATCTTGTAAATGTATAAATGTAGTCATTTTTTTAGATATTTTATAACTAACGTAAATTTTATTTACAGCAAATCTTCTAATACTAACTTTAAGTAACTTCGAATTTTTAAATTTACACCTTTTTAGTTTTGAAATATTTTAGTTATTTTTATAGTTTTTTTTTTTTTTTTTTGGAAAATTAAACTCTCATTCCCACTTGCAGGATTGTGTGTTCTAGGTATGAAATCGTTACTATTGATATTGTGGAAGTTTAACGATGTAGAAGTTCCACTCGAGCTTACAAAATTGCATCACGCACTTTTTACAATTTTGTTACCGTTTTGAATAAAAATAAAACTTTTCAATTTTACTTAACCCAAACCATATGCTGAAGTTACTTCACTCAAACACTAAAAGTTACTGGGTCCACCCCTAAAATTAGTGGAGTGAAAAAGGAAAATATTTTTTAATTACATCCAATCAGTCATTTCAAAATCAAAAATATTTAAAGTAAAAGCAATTTAAATATGCTTAAATACAAAAAAATAACTAAATAAATGAAATAAAAGTTTTTTAGGGTATTAACTCTGACTATCCTGACTTAGTCACGTGTAAGTAACCTTAGTAACGGTAGAAAACTTTACTGGTTTGTCCGACCTAAATCAGTATTGGATTGGCGTTGCCAGCCTAAGATAAATTTAACCAGATAGATTTGACCTGATTGTAACGTGATATCACCCATCAACGTTACGTTACAGTCATCTCATTTGATGGAAATGCTCTTTGTTCTTGTTAACATACATTTGTTCATACATTTTTTAAAAAGTGTTTTCTTGT